TTTTCCACTAAATTAAAAGATTGAAAGCTTAGGATCATATTTTTTGACTTAGTTCGAATTTGGCCCTAGGCTCCTTTGTTCATTTCCCAAGAAACCAGACGATGGCTTAAATCAGCCAAATAAGTGCTTAAGTTACTCCTACCTTAAGACCGTTTGGATAATGCTGTAAGACTTTTCAAAAAAACCATAAAGTAGGTGAGGCTATTATAGGGGGGCTATACCGAAACAGGAATATCTATAGAGAATTTTATACTTCAAGGATGGTCATCTTCCAAATACCAAATTTGGAAAAATTTCGTGAGTAAATGTGACTAGGATTATCAAAATAACAAATATCGGGACGTGCCGATATATGGGGGCTATACCAAAACCCGAACCCATGTACCCACCGGAGCTAGAACCCATTATAACCTACAAATATCAATTTTTATACAAATTCGTGGAAAAATGTGGCAAAAATCATCAAAATACCGAATATCGGAAGGTACCGTTATACCACAACGTGAACCTATACATACAATGTTTCACCACCAAAGCTAGAACCCATTATGACTTACAAATACAAATTTTTTGAGAAATCCGTGAAAAAATGTGGCGAAAACCATAAAAACACTGAATATCGGGACTTGCCGTTATATGGCGGCTATACCAAAACGTGGACCGATATATCTCATTTTCCATACCAACCATACTAGATACAATACAATTTGTTCTATGAATTTTGAAGCTCTACGTCATATAATGTGAGAGTTTTATGCTGATTATGAACATATATACTTTAAGGGTCTATTACGAATATTTAGGGATGTTACAAACGGAATGAAAAAGTTAATATACCCTCCTTCTCAATGTGGAGGGTATAAAAAGCACGGGAGAATAACAATTTTTGGTTGAAAAAAGGTGTTCACCTTTGTATTTTCATACTGAAACAAGCACTAATAATCTATTAAAATTCAATGTTTGTGAGCCACCCTAATGTCACAAGAGCAATCATGACGTATTTTCTATAAAATTAGGAAATGAAACATCTGTTCTCATGGCATTGTTTTTTTTTTTTTTTTGGCTATTCTTATACCTAAGTGGATATATTCTATAAATTTCGTAGATTGCCGGTTTATGATTAATTTATTAGCTCTACCCCCCTCTTCGAACACAAAAACACATCAGTGATTGACATATTGTTTGTTGAAGACCGCAAAACCAAAAAATGCGTTCTTCAAGACGCCAGCTAAAAATATTCAAAGTAAAATCGTAATTAGTAATTTGGAATTTGTAAATAGTATTCATTCATCTGAACGGATGTAGGATGAAATTACAGCAGAGCATGGTAGGTGGCGTTTGTCACTGACTGGCTGGCTGGCTGTTGTTGACATGTTTGGTAAAAACTAGTGTGACAACTATTAGCATGACTTTGAATTGTTTACATTGCAATACTAATCTGAATATTTAATATATGCGTTTTACTGAAATGAGTTTTCGTTAGATTTTGAAATGGGAGAATAGATTTTTTTGCATTACCAATACACACACTCTCCACGAGATTATATGTAATTGTATTGGGGTAGATGAAGAGACAAATTTGGAATGACGACCCTAACAAATATCAAAACAATTTTTTTGTATATGATCAATGAATCATGTATGGTAGAATTAGGAGGGAGGTTAACTGCAATGACTTGTTTATAATTGTACAAAATTATACCTTTCACAACATCAAAATTTATATTCATAAAACCATGGTATATGCACAAATCAGAGATAGAAGCCACTTTGCTATGGTATTAATTACAGAGAATTAAAGAAAATGCTTAGCTTGATATGCTTATTTGTTATAGGATCACTTTCCTAATTCTACCATGGGATTCACGTAACAAAACTTTTTAATAACTCTTGATGTAAATGGTATAATTAAAATAAATTGTAGATATGCACCATATAAAAGTCTTTGTATAACCCTAATGCAACGGTGGCGCCCAACGTTTGGTGCAAACGTGTATACATCGGTTAGATTTTAAAAATATTAGTCATATTTTCATATTTGGTTGTATTCACCGGTTAAATTCATGGTACAATAAGGAGGTAGAACAGCTTCGCAAAAAGTACAGAAATACACCCCTGAGGCCATCAAATTGGCATGAAACAAGTTTTTTCATATATTCGATATTTTAAAATGAGTTCAATAGCGCGAAAAATAAATTAAATGTCTAGATTTTTTTTTTTTTTTCAAAAATATGATCTAAACAGTTTGATTTTTCAAATCCATGGCAAAACTGGCGAATAGCTTTAATGCGCGTCCTGCAATGTACGTTTCTTACAATCATTAATTTTGAAAATATTTTTTTATTTTCAAAACAATGAATATATACACAAAGTTGGCAGAAGTCGGGCACACTTAGAAAAAAATTGTAATGAGGTGGTAGGTCCACCTTACCTTTTATTTGTACCATGGTTTAGTGTTGGTCTGCTGATCTATAGCAGCAGGAGAATACTCAGTTTGTTGATTAGAGAGGTTGTTGCAATTTTTCCATCTCCCTCTCTCTCAAACAAACTAACAATTGCTGCAAGCATACTCAGGAGTAAAGTGATGAACAAAATGCAGGTCGTATTATCCGATTGAGATGAATTTTTTTTTTTGGCCCGAGGACGAAGCCTATTGAAATTGCTGAGAATAGGTTTAGTTATAGCTATAACCCTCATATATACAGAGTGAGATGAAAAAACTGCAACCAATTTCAGACTGCTGCCATTTCTAAGCCACTCGTCCGACAGATGTTAAAATTATTCCATTGACAGCTCATTATATTGTTTACAAGTGTACAAAAGCATTTTAGTGAGAATTTTCCAGAAAAAAAATTACTCGTGATGGAATTCAAGCTGGAAATTTGGCTGGAAAACCACAAGTGGCTATCGTTAGAGCACTCCAGAATTTAATTGTGAATAAATATTTTGTGTCTCGTATCATCGCTCGTTACCGTGATACTGGTAGCGTAGCCCGACGTCTAGGAAGTGGAGGGAAGAAAACAGCAACATCAGAAAAAATGGTTCGAAAAGTAATGAAGCGACTTGATCGAAACCCGCCGAAAAATGGCTCGTGAGCTGAACATATCGCAATATTCCATTCGGCAAATATTGAAAAATGAGCTCGGGGTAAAGCCATTGAAATTCCAAAAATTGCAAGAACTTACATCGCATCAGGAAGAAAATAGACTCAAAAGAGCTAAAGATTTGCTTCGCTTGGCCGAAAATGGTGAACTGCCGAATTTGGTTTTCTCCGATGAGAAAACATTCGTTGTCCAGCTGTTTGTAAACAAACAAAATGATCGTGTTTACTTGACAAAGAGGTCAGCTGAAAATGTGCACCTTCAATCGACCAACAGAACTCAAGCGCCGGCCATGGTGATGGTGTGGGCTGCCATAACAGCCGATGGTCGCTCTGCGCTCGTATTAATCGACCGTGGCATCAGAATAAATCCCGAATATTATCGCGAAAATATTCTAGAGGGTGTATTAAAGCCTTGGTCACGCAAACATTTTGGCCGCTGACCTTGGACATTCCAACAGGACTCAGCACCATCGCACTCAACACGCGCCACAAATGGTTACAAAATCAGGTTCCTCGCTTCATTTCCAACGCACAATGGCCATCAAAATCTCCGGATATCAATCCGTTGGACTCTTGTGCCTGGAGTATTTTGGAAAGCAAGGTTGGTACTAAAAAAATAAAAAAGTGTCGATTGCCTCAAGCAAGCGCTGGGAATGGGCCAAAATACCGCAGAGCAACATTCGGGCAGAGTGTGACGCTTTCATTGGCCGTTTGAAGGCCATAATTCGTGCCAAAGGTGACCAATTCGAACAAATCTAAACTTATTCTAAAATTTGATGCTATTTCCGACATTTTTTGCTTTCATTCAATAAAATTTGAAAAAAAAGTAAAAATTATGACGTTGTATTTTTGTTATCTGCATATCTTCAACCGATTTCGGGTAAATTGCGCACCTAATGGCTAATATAAGCCCAAATTACCTGTATATATCATCCGATTTGGTGTTTAAGTCCCTCAAATTTGTATTATGCACCCCACAAGAATGATATTTGGCATTAGATATCAGATACAGCCAAGAAATACCTCTGTAAAATCGGTATACCTCATAGATCGGTTCAGATTTGGATAAAGCTCCCATATATATCTTCAACCGATTTCGAGTTAATTGTGCCCCAAATGGTCAATATAAGTCGTAATGACCTAAATTTTTGCACATCCGACCGAACTTAGTCTAGAAGCAAGTACATCAATTTTGGTGAAAATCGGTTCAGATATAGCTATAGCACCCATATATATGTTTCATCCGATTTAAGGTTTTAAGTCCCTCACATTCGTGATATGCACCCCACAAGAATGATATTTGATACCAGATATCTTATAGACCTCGGAAATACATTTACAAAATTTTATCGATATCGGCTAAGATTAAGATCTTTAATCCGATTTCAGATTTTTGGTGCAAATAATGGCTAATATCAGCCCAAATGGAGTGAATTTCGAGAATTACGTTTCCATTTGGTGGAACTCGGCTCCGATATATTTTTTTTAATATAACCCTTCTCGAAGTGATATCATGCAGTCTATAGAAATGTTATTTGGTATAAAAGATTAAAATGTCTCCGTCAAATTTAGTGAAAATCGATTCAGAATTGAGTATGCGTATAGTAGTTCCCTCTGAAACAATATTATAACTGCACTAAAGCCAAAGGTTGATAGGTGGTATGACCTGCTTCAAAAAATTGCTTTTGTTATCGAAGTTCTACTAGGTATGCATAGTGGTGTAAGGTATCATATAGTCAGCCCCGCCCGACTTTTGACATTTCCTTACGGTTTTTTTTAGATTATGTTTGGAATAATTCCGCAAAATTAAATGCAGGACTGAACATTTTTCTTCTAAACTTGATTCAACAAAACAGAGATGCCAAAAAGTTCCTAAAACAATTTTTTTATCTTTCAGATGCCGCCTCGGATGCTGTCATTAGAGTCATTAGCGTTGATTTGTATCGGGGTGAAAATCATGACGAACATCACACGGATCATTTCTATGCGGCCAAGGATGCTTTGATTGTGCGTCGCGGTGAGCCCTTCCGTATTCGCTTGAATTTCAATCGTGATTATAGTCCCAGTCGTGATGCCATTAGTTTTATATTCACCGTTGCCGATGATAAGAAACCCAATCCGGGGCATGGAACGCTAATTGGTTTGGTGCCAAGGGATGGTATCGATTATTTGGGTGATCCTTTGGAGTGGGGTGCCGGTATTGAGGCTCACGAACCAAATAGCCTGACATTGTTAATAAAACCCGCTGCAACATGTCCTGTAACGGAATGGAAAATGGACATTGACACCAAGTTGCTGGGGGATGGCTCCAAATCGTTTACCTTGCCCGTGCCAATGTATGTGCTATTTAACCCATGGTGTCCGGATGATCAGGTGTATATGACCGATAGAGATCAGCGCAAGGAATATGTAATGCATGACACCACGTTGATATGGCGCGGTTCATATAATCGTCTAAGGCCTTCAGTTTGGAAATTGGGACAGTTTGAAAGACACATCCTGGAATGTTCCATAAAATTGCTGGGCACAGTGGGTCGGGTGCCAGCAGCATTTCGTGGTGACCCAGTGCGGGTTGCACGTGCCCTATCGGCTGCTGTAAATTCCGTCGATGATGATGGCGTCATTTTGGGTAATTGGACGGAAGATTTCTCCGGTGGCATTGCTCCAACCAAATGGATTGGTTCCACGGAGATTATTCAGCAATTCTATAAGACCCAGAAACCGGTGAAATTTGGTCAATGTTGGAATTTCGCCGGGGTTTTGACCACAATTGCCCGTACATTGGGTATACCTTCGAGAATTGTAACATGCTACTCCTCTGCCCATGATACCCAGGCCTCGCTGACTGTGGACATTTTCATTGATGAGAACAACAAGAAATTGGATGCCGAGACTACCGACTCCATATGGAACTATCATGTTTGGAATGAGGTTTGGATGACCAGACCCGATTTGGGGGTGGGGCAAAATGGCCTTAGCTATGATGGCTGGCAAGCGGTGGATGCCACGCCACAGGAAGCCTCCGATAATATGTATCGTGTTGGACCCGCCCCTGTGGCGGCGGTGAAAAATGGTGAAATATTACGTCCCTTTGATTGTGGTTTTGTCTTTTCCGAGGTGAATGCCGACAAGGTGTACTGGCGCTACAATGGTCCCTTCCAACCGATAAAACTGTTGCGTAAAGACACCATGGCCATTGGACATTTCATAAGTACCAAGGCGGTCTTGAAATGGGAACGTGAAGATATCACCAGCACCTATAAATACGCCGAGAAAACCGAAGAGGAACGTAACATCACGCTGAAGGCATTGAAACAATCGCAACACGCCTTTAGCCGTTACTATTTGAATGATACCTTTAACGAAGTGGAATTCGATATGCAAATGAATGATGACATCAAAGTGGGAGAATCGTTCACAATTGTTTTGTGCATCACAAATAAGTCCAAGGAGAAGGCACATACAGCCACAGGCCAACTGAGTTGTGAATCGGCCCAATACACCGGCATTAGCAATGAAATGATCAAATCTATACCTTTTGAAGTGGAAATAGAGCCGGGAGCCACGGAATTTGTACGCATGCAAGTTGTATTTGAGGAATATTTCAAAAAGTTGTCAACGCAGGTGGGTTTTTAAAGGACTCCATGAGCTACACAGTGAAAATTTTCACAAAAGATAAATGGGATCGATCTTTTTTCCCCTACTCACATTTTCAACGTTTGGCTTCGGTACCAAATTTTAACAAGTGTTGGTAATTAATTTTTTCCTTCTTCTAGGCCACCTTTAACATATCCTGCGCCGCCTTGGTTAAAAACACCGATTATGAGTACTATGCAATGGATGATTTTCGGGTACGCAAGCCGGATATTAAATTCAGTTTCCAAGGTGACATTGTGTCACGACAACCCGTGGATGTTATTGTCCGTTTGACAAATCCCCTACCCATACCGGTGAGAAAGGGTATTTTCCATATCGAAGGACCGGGCATCGATAAGCCATTAAGGTTTAAGGTTAGTATGTCCTCTAAGGCCGAAACACAATGAATACCTGTTTCGAAGAGGCTTCTTTAACGCGTTGAAGGAAAATCACTTGGCTATACAGAAGGTCAAAATATAGTCAGTGATGGGCTAATTGTCGCTGTTTTTAAATTATAAAGGAACACCAGAAGCACTGTAGAATTCTGACCCCATTACCCTTCAAAATTTGACTTCAACAACAAAAACAAGTAAAAAAAGCTAAGCTCGACCGGGCCGATTTTTTTAGCTCTTTCTACACCATTCGGAAAGAACTTTAAAAATTAAAAAAAAAACAAAATCCGTCGAAAAATACCGCTCAAATGTAAACCTTTGTATGGGGGCTATACGAAGACGTGGTGCCAGATAAGTTATTTTTTTGTCGTAGGCTGTTGTAATGAGTCCGAACTTGAAATACGAATAATGTCGCTAAAATCATCAAAATACCGAATATCGGAAGGTACCGCTATATGGGGGCTATACGAAGACGTGGGCCTGCGCAGACAATTTTCTGTCATAGGCTTTAGTATCCATTACGAACTTCAAATACCAAATTTGAAACAATTCCGGTAAATAATGTCATTAAGATCATCAAAATACCGAATATCGGGAGGTACCCTTATATAAGGGATATACGAAGACGTAGACCTGCACGAACAATTTTCTGGCATAGGCTGTAGTACCCATTTCGAACTTAAATCGCCAAAACACCGAAAACAGATAGGTACCATTATATGGGGGCTATACGAAGACGTGGATCTGCACCGACAATCTCCTGTCATAGGCTGTAGCATCCATTACAAACATTAAATACCCAATTTGACGCAATTCCGGTAAATAATGTCGCAAAAAATATGGCAAAAACTATCAACATACCGACTATCGTGGGCACCATTGTGGGGGGCTATACGATATCGTGGACCTATATAAAATTCTCTTTCAGAGGGTAAAGTACTCACAGAGAGCTCCTTGTGTAGAATTTCAGACAATTCCATTAAAATATGTGACTAAAAAAATCAAAATATCGAATATCGGGAGGTACAATATGAGAGATATACGATTTAGTGGACCTATATGGATAATTCTTTTTCAGGGGGTAAGGTAGTCACGAAGAACTCCTTGTGTAGAATTTTAATTTCAATTCATTTGAAAATTCTGCTTTAAATTATCAAAATACCGAATATCAGGAGGTATAGTTATATGGGGGATATACGATATTGTGGACTTATATAGAGAACTCTTTTTCAGGGTGTAAAGTAGTCACGAAGAACTGCTTCTGTAGAATTTCAGACAATTCCATTAAAAAATGTGGTTTAAATCATCAAAATACCTAATAGCTAGGGTACCGTTATATGGGGGCTATACGATGTCGTGGACCGATATAGTCTATCTTCGAACTTGACCTGCCTGCAGACAAAAGTCAGATCGGTGCAAAATGTTAGCTTTCTATTCTTATTCGGTTTGACTCTAGCGTGATTATAACAGACGAACGGACGGACAAGATTAAGTCGTCTTAGAATTTTACGCTGATCAAGAACATTTACACTTTGTTGGGTCTAAAATTTTGATGTCGATGAGTTACAAACGGAATGACGAACTTAATATACACTCCATACTATATATGGTGGAGGGTATAAAAATTCGAATGAATTGCCCCATTTCATGTGCCAGCTTCATTGTGTTTTTGCCTAAGAGAACAAATATTTAAACTCAACATGTAATGACTTTCAATTTCCTTCTCCATAGATTGCCGAAATCCCCGTGGGCGGTACTGCTGCCTCAACATTCAAATACACTCCCCCATACGCAGGACGTGGAACATTGCTGGCGAAATTCTCATCCAAGGAATTGGATGATGTCGATGGTTTTATGCATTATGAAATTAAACCCAGACCTGAAGATGTTATCATGAATAATAATTCCAGTAATACAATTATTCGACGTAGAACCGATGTGATACCATAAGCGATATATATAGTTAAATAGTCTTGCCCACGTTTGCTTATTTGTATTTGATTTTTTTGTTTAGTTTTTAATTTATTTATGCAATCCAAAAACTTTTTCTAATAAAATTAGTCATACACCCAGTCGAATATGTATTTTTATATGATTTTGTAGGTGAGGATATATAATTTTCACCCATCTATTCACAGGGACGAGTTTGAAAGGGCGTCTTAACAAATGGCGCCCAATAGGAATTGTTAAGTTGGCATAAGTCATCGGCTGGCTTCTTCGTAAAAGCACAAAGGAGCCTAGGGCCAAAATCGAACTAAGTCACCCTAAAACTTTTTTGTTCCTCTACGAAGAAGCCAGCCGATGACTTATGGTAGTCAGAAAAGCTCTTTATGTACTTCCACCTTTAAGAAGTATATGGAAAAATTAAGCCGGGTAGTAGATGCAGAGCGCATTCCAGGGTTTAAGACATTGGGGTACTATTTATTTGTTTGTTGTTCTGTAAATTTTCTATTAAACCTTGTAGATCTTTTCTTACAGGCCTTTTAACGATTTTTTGATTTTGATGATTTCCTCATCCCAAAATGCGTTTTGGGTTGTCTATTACGATATTATTTTTATATTTCAAGCTATTCATGCCTTCAGAATTAAAAAAAAAAACACAAATTAAAACATGATTTTTTTGTGAAAACAGGTCACCACAAAAGAACTTTCATATATATTCTTCCTGCTTTTATTATTACTACAATTTACAATAAAACATATAACAAAAACCCACAACTATTCAACAATTTCTTAAAAATCCATACCCAATGCAAATGAAGACTGATTCGAGGTCTTTAAATAGTAGATACCCTCAGCGGTGGTAGGTGTTGGATCACCCATTAGAATTTTATCACCGGTACAATTTTTGCCCTTAACATCAAACAATGAACCACATGGCACGGCATAGAAACCCTTATCGCTGTTAATCGATTCCGCATAGTATTCATAAGATCTACCATGACTGCAACCAGCTACAATGTAAGAAAACTATTTATTTACACAAAAACTTTTTCAAAACTTCCCACACAAAAAAACTTACTAAATATTTGACTGATTTCCGTACAACCCGGCTGGGGAGGATTTCCACCATTTGGATAGAAATCCACATGACCGATGGGATTTTTAAAACCCAAAAATCCAGCACAACTATGTATGACATCAACGAAATCGGCATCGGTACTATCCAAATGATTTTCCGGTCCAATACAGTCTTCAAAGGCCGGGCGGGCAGGATCTAGACCTGTTGAGGGAAAATATTTTAAAAATAGTTTCAATTATTTTTTTATGGTGTGTCTACTTTACCAGTAATTCTGCCCACACGATATTTGGTATAGGAACCGGCATAGCCCATAATATGTGAACCCAAGCTATGTCCTATTAGGTGAATACGTTTTGGATCGGCATTTTTCTCTTCCACCAATAGATCTATCAATTTTGCTACTGCCCGACCCACTTGAACCGTATAACGTGCCGGTCTCAAGTAATAAATATTATCGGCTTGATCTCTCCAATTAATAGCTAAAGAGAGGGGATGAGAGAAAGAATAATACAATATTTACACTGAGGAATAACAAAAAACTGTTCAAGAAGTTGAATAGGTTCCCATACATTTTAATAGTTAACCCATGGTACAATGAAGAGAAGGTAGGTCAACTTTGAAAAAATTGCAAGTATAGAGATCTACCTGTTTGGCTTGTAATGTCAGAATTAGTACCAAAACAATAAAAAATCAAACAACTTGTTGCATTTATTTTGAATAAATAATTGAAAACCGCGAAAACTGAATGAAAGGTCAACACTTCTTTTTAAAACCAGGTTCTATATATCTCTAAAGGATTATTTCGCTACAAAAACTCTAGATTTTGTCGATGCATACGACGAAATAAACATTTTGAACACATCCGAATTTGAATGTTTTCTGAACAATTTTTTTGTTATTGAAAAGAAAACACATACATAAACAAATAAAGATGACATATTAAGCCAAGAAAATAAAAAAATTGAAAACATATGGTATCATAGCCCTACCTTGATATCATTGTACCACGAGTAAATCTATGATAGAATAAAGAAGGTTACCTCGTGGAATCATATTTTTAAATTTTCCTAATTTTTCATTTGAATGCACACACTTAAAAAAATATTGTTTTTCAAATTTTTTTCTGAATTAATACATACAACAGTCTATTTTTTACATTATTCTAATTCTGGAAATTAATATATTTTCATATCTTTATAAATTAGATACTAAATTGCAATAAAAATAAAAACCACTACAATTTGCAGTTGTCATAAAATACTTCACAAATCACATTTTAAATTTATTTTTTCAGAAATTGGTTGAAAATAGGACTTTATCATAAGTAAAGCTTTGTATTTCTCTCTGTAAAAACTAAATGTCAGAGTACATAAAATTCATTTTTGACTGGCTTAAGTCATCGGCTGTCTTCTTAGTAGAAAACAAAGGAGTTATAGGTTGACTTAGTTCGATTTTGGCCCACTCTCCTTTGTTCTTTTTCGAAGAAGCCAACCAGTGTCTTAAGCCAAAATGCTTTTTAAGTATTCTCACCTTTACAAGTAAAAAAGCAGTAAGTTTGGCTGGGCCGAACTTTGAACACCCACCCACGCATTTAGAAATTAAAAAAAAATAAAATTCGTTAAAAATTCTGTACAAATCTTAAAAATTCTGTAAAAATCTTAAAAATACCGATATAGGAAGTTATATTTGGATCTATACGAAGATGTGGCCCAGCATAGGCCACTTTTGTCATAGGCCATTACAATATCCACACGGAAATTATCAGGTACCGTTATGTGGGGGCAATACGAAGATCTGGACCTATATAGACAATTTTCTGTCATAGGCTGTAGATCCCATTAGGAACTTCAGGTATGAACTTAGAAACAATTCCTGTGAATAATGTCGTTAAAATCATCAAAATGCCGATTATCGGGAGGAACCGTTATATGAGGGCCATACGAAGACCTGCATAGACAATTTTCTGTCTTAGGCTGTAGTATCTATTACGAACTTCAAATACCAAATTTGAAACAATTCCGGTGAATAATGTCGCTAAAATCATCAAAATACCGAATATCGGGAGGTACCGGAGGCTATATGAAAACGTGACCCTACATACCAAAAGTCCTGAGGACATAATATACATTTGAGTAAAATTTTATCAATCTACTTCAATTCGTCCGGAAGCTAGAGTGATTTCCACACACGGACAGACGGACGGACATCGCTAAATCGACATAGAATTTTAGGCTGATCACGAAAATATATATTCCTTGTGGGTCTAAAATGTATATTTCGAGGTGTTGCAAACGGAATGACAAACTTAATATACCTTCCATACTATGGTGGAGGGTATAAAAAGACATGATAGGAGAGAATTTTTTCTGTTTCAGAAAAGAACAAAGGAGCGTAGAGCCAAAATCGAACTAAGTCAGCCTAAAACTCCTTTGTTCCCCTACGAAGAAGCCAGCCGATAACTTAAGCCAGTCAAAAAAAGGCTTTTATGTGGTCTCACCCTTATTCCGGAAAAAATCTTCCTATGTATTCTCACCCTAAATGTTTTTATTTGTGCGATAGGATAGGAATATCTTAACCACTTACCAAACACATTGACATGACCCCGTTTGATGTAACCTCCCCTAATGGATTGTATGGAATTACTTTGTGTGCTAGATTTCCATCCATGAACCAAAATTTTCGTATCCAAAGCTGGATTAAATTTCTCTGCCATTTCTTCCCAGGTATCACGTTTGTGACGTGTTTGCTCCTCTTCATTCATCCAAACATTGTTGACAATGGGCTCGGATGGATTTGTACTGGAAATTAAAATGAAAATCCATTACAATTCAGACATTGTAATTTAAAAGGTGAACATACCTGCCATAGTATTCAAATTGTATGATTTGTGGTTCATTATTGCGATTATCATCCGGCGGTGGTTCAACTAAATATGCCACTTGTGGCTGGCCATCTCCATCGGGCATATACATCCAGGTGTCATTGTAATCCTCTTCGTTCAGTTCCACTTGAGCTCGAATGCCAACTGCCGAAGATACGGAGACATAAATTAATTATTTTGACAGATCTTACATAAGTTTCGATTTACTAAAGCTCCATATGGGACGAACAAAATTCAAAATTGCCGCAACGCCAGAAATTAGCCACTGCACTAAAACGAACGTCGAAGCCAATTCATCGCGACAAGGATTGATAATGTTACAAACACAATGTAGGGTACTAATGGACATTTTCTCTTAGTGCGTACGTAGTTCTCGGAACTTTAATACAACCACTGGGAACGTCTTGCCTTATCGACGATCGTGAGAATATTGAAGTTGTATACATTAATTAATTTTCGTCCAAGTGATATGGAGTTAAAATTCGAAGAATTTTTTATGTATCTTGTTAACATTAGTGTACATTTATTAGAGTGGGACGATATACAAAATTGAAATATTATTCATAACCAAGACATTATTAATAATTATTTAAAACTCCTGTTATCGTACAAGATGCTCTGGCGACCCACTCTTACTTTCACAGGTATTTATACGAGAATATTTAGGATGCTTTTAACTGGAGCTTTTTATTTATGTCATTTAACAATTAAGTGAAACGAATAAAATAATGCTGACAAAGGCAATGTATGATTAATGTGCTTAAAAATAAATTACTTAATTTTTGTAACAACAACAAACATATTCAGGTCAAAAAATAATTGGTTAGTGATTTTCCTTGGGATCTCTTTCTAATGGTTGCAATATTGACAAATTAATCTTAAAATGAAAATTGGAATATGAAAGATCGAGGTGAGAATGCATTAAAACGTTTTTTTGACTAGCTTAAGTCGTCGGCTGGCTGTCTTCTTCGGAAAAGAACAAAGGAGCGTAGGGCCAAAATCGAACTAAGTCGACCTAAAACTCCTGTTTCTCTACGAAGAAGCCAGCCGATGACTTAAGCCAGTCAGAAAAGCCTTTTATGTACTCTCACCTTTACAATGTTAAAAAAAGTTAGACAGTGACGAAAATAATCGAACTACTGTAGAAGTAAAATACAGCTTTGTTTCTTAGGGTGGGAGTAAATAAAGCGGATATTTTTACTGGTTTAAGTCTTCGGCTTGCTTTTTCGTAGAGGAACAAAAGAGTTTTAGGTTGACTTAGTTCGACTTTGGCCATAGGCTCATTTGTTAATTTCCAAAGAAGCCAGCCAATGACTTAAACCAGTCAAATAAGCGCTTTATGTATTCCCACCTTTATACATATGGTGATTGATGGCGCCCAAACGAACTACGGAGTAAAGGTGAGAGCACATAAAAGGCTTTTTTGATTGGCTTAAGTCATCGGCCAGCTTCTTCTTAAAAGAACAAAGAAGCTTTGGGTTGACTTAGTTGAATATTAGCCCAAAATTTATATTTGTTAACCCTACGCGTCTTTGATGGTAGAATTAACCATATGTTTACAATTTTTTCAAATTTATATATTTGACAACATCTCATCTCATCAAAATGTATATTTATGAACTCATTGTACATACACAAATCAAAAATGGGAACCTGATTTCTATGAATGTCATTTGACAAGGTAAATTACAAAAAATTGCAGTCATGGGAATGCTAATTTAAAATGACTTAACCCTCTTAATTTTACCATAGCTTCTTTATTATTTCATGAAGAAGCCATCCGATGACCAAAAGGTGCGAGTACATAAGAAGCTTGAAGTCATGGCTAGGCATATTTTGTGACATTTCATAAATGGATTACAGAGCCGCACTAAAATCCTGCCGTCGTTTTCCATTATAATATGAAATTAAGATGCTTAGCCATGGATTCAACCTTTTTACGTACAGGTTGATATGAAAAAATTGCAACCAACTTCAGACTGCTGCAATTTCTAAGCCACTAGTCCGACAGCGGTTAAAATTATTCCAGTGATAGCTCATTATATTGTTTACAAGCGTATAAAAGCATTTTGGTGGGAATTTTTCGGGAATAAAGTTATTCGTGATGGAATTCAGGCGTGATAGTGCGATTTCTTTATATTTGGCTGGAAAGCCACAAGTGGCCATCGTTAGAGCACTCCAACATTTAAATGTGAATAAATCTTTTGTGTCTCGTACCTTCGCTCTTTGACGTGATACTGGTAGCGTAGCCCGACGTCAAGGAAGTGGACGGAAGAAAACAGCAACATCAGCAGAAATGGTTCGAAATGTAGAGAAAAGACTGATCGATCGCGACCCTCGTCGCAGTAGCCGAAAAATGGCTCGTGAGCTGAACATATCGCAATATTCCATTCGGTAAATATTGAAAAATGAACTCGGGGTAAAGCCATTGAAATTCCTAAAAGTGCAAGAATTAATCCGCAACAGAGAGAAAATAGATTCTAAAGAGTTGCTTCGCTTGGTTACGGTGAACTGCCGAATTTGGTTTTCTCCGATGAGAAAATATTCGTTGTCCAGCTGTTTGTAAACAAACAAAATGATCGTGTTTACTTGCCAAAGAGGTCAGCTAAAAATGTGTATCTTCGGTTGGCCACCAGAACTCAAGCGCCGACCATGGTGATGGTCGCTCTCCGCTCGTAGTAATCGTCCGTGGAGAAAATATTTTGGAGGGTGTATTAAAGCCTTTTTGGACGCAGACCTTGGACATTCCAACAGGACTCAGCACCATCGCACTCAGCAGCGCCACCCAGGAATGGTTACAAAATGAGGTTCTTCGCTTCATTTTCAACGCGCAATGTCCACCAAAATATCCGGATACCTATCCGTTGGACTATTGTGTCTGGAGTATTTTGGAAAGCAAGGTTGGCACTAAAAATGCCAAGGTGTCGATCACCTCAAGCAACCGCTTCGCCGGGAATGGGCCAAAATACAGCAGAGCATTCGGGCAGCGTGTGACGGTTTCATTGGCCGTTTGAAGGCCATAATTCGTGCCAAAGGTCACCAATTCGAACAAATTTAAACTTATTCTAAAATTTGATGCTATTTCTAACATTTTTTTGCTTCTTGCTCGTTCTAGAACAGAGTAATTTTGATTTATTCCCCAATTTGAGATTCCACTGCAGAGTTTAGTTTTTTGCTATGCTAGGACCCAGTTATCCTTTAACATCTGAGGTGACATATTTTATAACGTGGTGGTAAATTTTACCCCTCTAAATATTACAGAAAAAAAACTTTGTTAAAAATTTTATTTGATAATAATTTGTTTTTTAAAAGTAAGCTTGTATATTTTAAATTACAATAAGTAAAAAAAAAAACATTTTTTTTATGTAAACAAAATTTTTATGCATTGTAATATAGAGAATTTCAAGAAAATGTGAAGGGAGGGTAAAATTTACCACCACCTCAGAAGTTAAAGGTTAAAATGATTACTGGGAGTACAATTAAAAAATGCTGTGGAATATGGAGATCATAAAAAGTTCTATACAATTTGATTTCAAAACATTAATGCATAAACTTTAATAATTGGTTTGTTTGAGAGAAGGATGTCAATTTCAATATCAAACTTACCTGCTGCAACAGCAATTATTAAAAACAATTTAACTAGCACTTTTATTCCAACACTCATTTCGAAGACTCAAACAATCGATTTTTATAGCAAATCACCATTAACAAATTTAAATTAATTTAATTTTTTGTTTTTACAATTTTCGTCTTAAGTGCACCCTTTCAACACCTTCAAATGTCAATCATGCTTTATGTGACAACGACAACAACAACAACACCAAATGTCTTGACACACTGTGGATTTACTGTAAAACTAAAAACTACTAATAGCTTCTTAAGGTGCTAACTGTCTTTTTATAGTTTTGCTATCAAATTCCCCGACTCAATAATGGTTTTTGTTGCTGTTTTTGCAGCTATCAACATTTAAGCTGTAAATTCGATATCTGCCATTGGCGGTGTGGTGTCAAAAGAACCTTGGTTTTACAAGATAAGCAAGCCATTTAACATAATCATCCTGCTGTGAATCGGTCTAATTAGGCATTTAAAGGGCTTTAACAAAAAAAAAACGACAAACTTTATGAATGAAATGTGTAATGTGAAATAGAAGTGCACTTGCATACACTTACATATGTGTATGTAAATGAAATAAGCAAAAAAAATCCATAACAGTCGATTATATTAGGATATGCTCTCAAGCGTAATTTGAGCTCTGTAAATTTTTTAAAAATATCTAAGATATTATTTTCAAATGACTGTCAAAGCTAAAGGACGGAGTACATAAAACGATTTTTTGGCTGGCTTTAGTAGTCGACTGGCTTCTTCGTAGAGGAACAAAGGAGTTTTAGATTGACTTAGTTCGATTTTGGCCCTACGCTCCTTTGTTTAAAATGTTTTTTTTTTTCAAGTACTGTCAGAAGCGTGGTAAAATTAAGAAGATAAAGTAATTTCAAATAAGACTACCCATTTTGCATTTTCTGTAATTTTTCTTGTCAAATTTCACTGAATAATAAAAATAGGTACCCAAAATATAAATTTTGACAGGTAGATGATGTCAAATGGATAATTTTGAAAAAAGTTCTAAACATATGATTGCATGACTTTACCTTTTTAATTCCACCATGGTCAGAAGTAAAATTGTGGTTTTTAATAAATATTTTTTTCAAGGACTTCACTGGCGATTTTTAGAATTTTTCTCTAAAGACTACCAAAGATATAATCGTATTTTTTAAGGACTGTCAATGGTATAATCGTGAAAGGTGAGAATACATAAAACCCTTTTTTGAGTGGCTTAAGTCATCGGCACACTTCTTCGGAAAAGAACAAAGGAGCGTAGGGCCAAAATCAAACTAAACCAACCTAAAACTCCTTTGTCCTCTACAAAGAAGCCAGCCGATGACTCAAGCCAGTCAAATAAGCGTTTTATGTATTCTCACCCCAAGAATATTTTTTTAAGGACTACCAGATATACAAAAGTGGAATTAAAGAAGCTTTAATAAGAATTTTTACAAATATATTCGTATTGAGAGATTTATTCGGCATTTATTCGATGCCATGGTCGATTAATACGAACGGAGAGCGACCATCGGCTGTTATGGCGGTCCACACCATCACTATGGCTTCGCTTGAGTTCTGGTGGCCAACCGAAGGTGCACATTTTGAGCTAACCTTTTTGGCAAGTAAACACGATCATTCTGTTTGTTTACAAAAAGGCTGGTCAACGAATGTTTTCTCATCGGAGAATCCCAAATTCGTCGGTTCACAACTTTCGACCAATCGAAACAACTCTTTAATTCTTTTAAGTCTATTTTCTTTCTGTTGCGGTTTAAGTTCTTACACTTTTTGAAATTTCAATGGCTTTACCCCGAGATCATTTTGCAATATTTGCCGAAAGGAATATTGCCATATGTTCAGCTCACGAGCTATTTTTCGGCCACTGCGACGCGGATTTCGATCAAGTCGCTTCTTTACTTTTCGAACCATTTCTGCTGTTTTCTTTCGTCCACTTCCTGGACGTCGGGCTACGCTACCAGTATCACGGTAACGAGCAATGGTACGTAAACACAAAAGATTTATTCACATTTAAACGCTGGTGAGCTCTAACGATAGCCACTTGCGGTTTTCCAGCCAAATATAAAGAAATCACACTATCACGCTTGAATTCCATCACGAATAACTTTGTTTCTGGAAAATTTATCACGCTTGTAAACAATATAATGTGCAGTCACAGGAATAATTTTAACAGCTGTCGGACGAGTGAAAGCAGCCTGAAGTTGGTTGCGGTTTTTTCATCTCACCCTATATTTATAAATCCAATCCATAAAAAAATTGTAAAAATTTGTGAAAAAGGCCTATCATAACAACCTCGTATTAGAAAATGTATAAAAATCTACTAATTTTAGAAAAAAAAAAACATTTAAATTTTTTTATATATCAATGTTCTATAAGGTTGATACCTTATAGAATGATACCATGGTGCATACACAAATCAGAGATAGGAACTTTTTTCCATGCAGTGAAATTTGACAAGCTAAATTACAGAAAATGCAAATATGGGAATACTCATGGTACAATGAAGAGAGGGTAGGTCAACTTTGAAAAAATTGCAAGTATAGAGTTCTACCTGTTTGGCTTATAATGTCAGAACTAGTATCAAAACAATAAAAAATCAAACAACTTGTTGCATTTATTCTGAATAAATAATTAAAAACCGCGATAACTGAATGAAAGGTCAACACTTCTTTTCAAAATCATGTACTATATATCTCTAAAGGATTATTTCGCTACAAAAACTCTAGATTTTGTCGATGCATGCGTTGAAATTAACATTTTGAAAACACCCGAATTTGAATGTTTTCTGAACAAGTTTTTGTTATTGAAAAGAAAACACATACATAAACAAAAAAGATTTACCTTCTTAATTTTACCATGCAAGGACAATTTTATCCTATATTATAAGAAGTTTTTTCAAGCTTTGCTTTTGTGGATTTTTAAGAGATTGATTCTGACTTTTTAGAGTATAATTTGAAAAGCTTCCTGTTGGATATTTTATTTTATGTTTTGTCATGTCCACATTATTTTTAAAGATTCTCAGACATTTCATTTCTTTGTATTTAATAATTTGGTTCTATTTCTGCATAGGATCACATACAGAAATATTGATACTGTATACTGTGAACCTCCTTAAAAAGATTACCCATACACAGCCAAATACATAAAACAGTACCATATGGCAACACCAAACGATTCAAATTAACGAATGTTATCACTTATCCGTTTTGTATCCACATTCTACTCTCATGTTTTCAAGACATTCATACTTTTTTCACCAACTCTGAAAACAGAGAGGGTGCATTTGATATTTGTACAATTTTTCCATACATAAAGCAACATTCTGGACTATCAGAGATTTTTTTCTGAATCACATAACTAAATTGGCATCACTCTCAAGGCATATAATAACTCCAGTAAATCTAAACTGTAAATTCCATGGTGTATACGTTGAATAAAATACATTGAAATTCCGATTTGACGTAAACGCAATCGAATAAAGCAATTATAAAATTTTGCACTTTTTTTGTTTGTGATGCAACTAATTGTACTTTTAGAGTCACGGAATCCACTCGATCTCAAATGTCACTTCCATATCGTATGCGTCAAATAATATCCATTGGATTTATGAAGACGATTTACGAGAAGTATGCACTATGGAATTCACATTTGATATAGCGTGGATTTAGTAATCTTATCGTGCTCTTAATCAGTGATAGAAAGATATAGAAAGTAACTTATCAGCAGAACGGTTAATAGTGTGTGTGTTTTACTTCCATAACCTGTTTTCCCTTTATGATATCGAAATAATTGCAGAAATAGTAGATTCTTGCAGATTCTGGAACAGAGCAATCTTCTACATATTGGAAATTTATATTAAATTTCTTGATATATATTTTCATTTGTATTGTTTTTCCAGCTTTATAGAATAATATATTAACTCTCCTGTAAACGTTTTCCTCCACGCTATATTTTAGGTAATGTGTTACAAAGTACTTTTTCACTGCACGCATCTGTACATTTAAGGTACTGCAATTGCCAACCCTGACGGCTAATGAACAATAAACAACATACCAATTTTAACAACCATTCATAAACAAGCAGAGTGGAGATGCGTCATTGTTAATTCTGGAATTGTGAAATATTTTTTTATAAACAGCGCAAAGCGTGTATCCCAAGTTCGATACTACATCAACTTATTCCAATAATTTATAGCCCGGAGAACAAACAAAACAATGTCAGGAACATCGCAAAAATATAGAAATTTTGTGGCAGAACCTATGGGCGATAAGCCGGTCACGGATTTGGCGGGTATTGGTGAAACATTGGGTGGTCGTTTAATTGAAGCTGGCTTCGACAAGGTATGATTTGTTTTAACAATTGAGTGACGCAATAACTCGCATTTCGTGGCTTGGAAGTATCATTACAAATAATTGATTTCTTTTTTGCAGGCATACACAGTATTAGGCCAATATCTGGTCTTAAAAAAGGATGAGGAATTATTCAAAGAATGGATGAAGGATACATGCAATGCCAGTTCAAAACAAGCATCGGATTGTTACAACTGCCTCAACGATTGGTGTGAAGAGTTTTTGTAAATATTTTGTGCATTCTTCCCTTTTTTGCGTGTGCAAACACCGCCAACTTATTTTAATAGTATGTTCTCCAACTAATTCCATGTCAAAGAATCTTCTAATATTTTGTATTTGTTAGTTTTTAATTAATAAAAGTATAAAAAATTTATATAAGTATGTGTGGTTTACTCTTTTCATATGTGGGAGTGATGATTATGGATCGACAGTGGCGGATACGTACGGCTTACACATTAGAATATAAGCTAGGTTTGTTTCTTGTCACCTCTGCAGCTAGTATGATCGAAGTACGAGGTACAGTCGAGTCAGGTCCGAAAAGCATTTGCGTGCGAAGTAAATATTTGATGGTGTATTTTTAAATACAAATTATATTTAAGGAAAAATTAGCATTTTGATGAATTATCGATGGAAATTTGAATTGCCTTTATTTGTTTTTACTTAACTAAAAATGAATTCTATTGTTTTTATTGTGAATATGTTTGTTTTTCAAACGCCAGATATCAGTTAAAGTAAAGGAATTAAATAATAATTGAATTTAGCTTAAAAACACATTGGAGTAAAAGACATGAAAATATAGTTAAATAGGAAAATTCGGTTTTAATGTGATGACAATCTATAGGAACGCCAAAAAGTATGTTTCAAAATTACATCTGCCATAATGTTTACTTATAAACTCCAGGGCTTTATATGTTTATTTGCGTGTAAGAATCTTGAACTCAGGCAAAATAGTTGTAGAGCTGTGTTTATGCTTTACTATTTTACAACCCGTTTTTCTGTTTTACACTTAAAACGTTTGAGACGTTGTTACACAGTTATATTTTATTGCCAAAAAGTTTCAATTATTTTGAATTTCATACTACCACACATGTGGTTTGTTCCAGTACCTGCAAGAATCTACTAATTTTGCCATTTTCTTCGATACCATAAAAGGAAAATCGGTTATCGTAGTAAAAACTTTAACATTCTTGTAGTTCTGGAACAAAGCAATGGTAGAAGAATATAGGTAGACGCATCGACACAGCTGACGGGACAATGAACTTTCAAACCAATTTTGGAATTGAAAATGTTGAATAAAAAATTAATAAAATTTGTAAAAATTGTTGAAAAATGCATATTTTAACAACATCCGATTTGCGTCGTATAAAAATATTTTAAAAATCTATTTATTTTGACATATCAATGTTCCCAAGCATTGATGCATCTACCTATATTCTTCTACCATCCACATATATCACAACTTTGATCGTTGTCAATGTCGACCTGTAGTTGTTATTTTTTGTTATCAACAAATCTTAAACCCAGGATGTCAACCCAAACCTAAGAGTAAAACAGAATAATCATTTGGTGTTGTTTTCTAGTATGTGTCAACAAAAACGTTGTAACAACGGCCTAGAAATTGATTCTGTTTTAGACGCAAAATTAGCTGATGTCACAGCTCTAAACGTTGATTTTGTCTCGGATTTGAACTCAAGTAAACGACGTATAACGTACAACGATTGCATTCATAAAACTAATTTGAATTGATCATTAAGTACAATAATATACATTACATATATATGACGAGTTGTGTTCTTTTTTTTTTGCGTATTCAGTTTATTAAATACATATTTAATTATTTTAATTTATTTGGTTAGCACCGCTACTTTAAGTCCACGTCATCGACTAATTCTGATTACCTAGTTTACTACTGTATTTTACAACACTGTCTGAGACAATCCCATTCATTTTACGTGTGTGTTTGTGTGTGTGTGAAATGAAGAAAAATTTTCTCGGGTAATTTTTATGAAGTTTAAAATAAAAATTATAAAATTAAAAAAGAAACAAATTTTACACGACTAAAACCGAATAGAAGAGCAATAAAACAACACTCTTGACTAAATGAAACTGGAAAATATCAATAATACAACAAACAAATATTAAAAAAAAGAAAATAAATTGTAAAATATCCCAAAAAAGTGAGTGAGTGTGTGCGTATGTCAGAATAAAAAGTGGAATGAAACGACGTAGACAATAAAGGAATTGTACAAATTAAAATTATTGGGAGGCATTACAGAGTAATTGGCTTCTCTTCCAAAGAAATACATAGTGAAAAGTGCAAAAATTGTAAATATTGTGTCAACCATAAAAAACGGGGATATTAAAGTTGTGCATGCCCTACCTATTCGTTGCTGCTATTTTCGGATTATTCATATACTTGTTCCTCTTTTTTCTTGTCATTCCGTCTATCCTTTTTATTTTTTTATTAATGGGGGGATGATATTGGATGATATGATTCGCCCCAGTCTGGCAACATTTGTGCAGCCATTGAGAAAAATTAATTGACAAAAGAAAGAAAATTACCACAGAGAGGGGAGATAATAGCAAGAAGAATACAATTTTAAACAAATAAAAGACCGGAAAAATTAAGGGAAAAAGTAAAATTTCTATACAACAGCAAAACATAATGTTTACAAACCTGTGAATACGTAAGAAAAAGGCATATTTCCTGCATGAATTATAGTGAAAAGTAAGGCCTCGGCGGCTGTTCATCTTCTGTGGAGAAAAAAAATTAAAGAAAATTGCACTTTCCCTTCAACTAGCAGAACCAGCAAAGCCAGTCGTCGTCAGAGTCAATAGTAGTCGTTGGTCGGGTAGTGATGGTGATGATGTTTCAATGACTTGTGTATTTTCTTAATTTGGAACCGAGAAATATATTAAAAAAATACTTTTAGAATCTTCCAACCAGGTAGAGTTACTTGTCCTGTTTTTCCAAACGTTATTTTTCATTATAGTTTTCTATTTTTGACATGCCTACAAATGGAGAGATATTTCTGACACTGCGAAATTCAAAGTGCTTTTGTTTTTTTTTTTTTTGTTGGTGGGTCGATTGTTTGTTTAGTTTTATTTTTAACGTCTAGAAAACTGGTACGATTTACGTTAGAGTAGTGGGAAAAGGTGATTGTGAGTGGTGGATACTCTTTTTCGCAGTGACCCAGCTACTCATCGCCAACGCACTGCACGTAAATAGGGGACACAGGTGAATTGTAGTTATTTTTTTAGGTTATGTCTGCTGTTTTTGCATTTTGCATGAAAGAAGAAACAAGTAAATTGAACAATATATAAACAAAATAACAACAACAGTTACAGTAATAATCTTGTAAACCAGTGTAATAAATTATAAAAAAAAAATAAATAATTGCCACCTCTCTTACGTCGCGACTTTTATGAAATTAAACAAAACAAGAAATAACAAAGGATAGAAAGTGGGAAACAACGACAACAGAAATATTTTGTCAACTTAAACCAGCCGATAACAACTTTTAAACAACCAATACCTGATTCCACTATACAACAACAATAGCAAAGACACTCGCATCACATCAGCCATCGTTTCTTGTGTCGTCAGGATAAATTCGGCCTAAAATTGTTGCTACAAATGGGTACTAATTCCGGAGCCACAACGGGCATCAATAATAAACCTATTGGTGGAGCAGGCGGTACAGGTGGTGGTGGCGGAGGTGGGGTTGTTGGCGGTACCGGCCTCATTGGCGGCGGTGGTCTTGGCGGAGGTGGTGCCATTAATAATGCAGCCAACAACAGCCTCGGTGGACAAAATTCGGGGCTAGGGTTGGTCGGTGGCAATAATGTCTCCAACTCTGCCGGTGGCCTTAGTGGCGGCATGGGTTCCGGCGGTAATCCGGACGATGGCAATGGCGGAGCCGCCAACAATGTCAATAGCCAACAGGCAACACCACAGTACACCATACCTGGCATATTACATTTCATACAACATGAATGGTCACGTTTCGAATTGGAACGCTCGCAATGGGATGTCGACCGTGCTGAATTGCAAGTAAGTACTAATATTTATAGTGACAATGACAGCATTTCCTATTCTATTTTTATTTTGTGCATTATTTTCTACTACTATTAAGCATTTAACGCTATGGCCAGGCAGTATAGCAATATCAACAACAACAATATGCAAATCATTGAAGCCCATTCTTCTAATTCAATTACTTCTACACGAATGAATCAATGAATGTTAAGGTTTCAGGTTAGTAGGGGAATATTGGCTATAACAAAAAGGAGGAATGTAAAAGAGCATCAATGTTTTGCTATCGGCAATTTGAAAGAAAAGTGTGGTTGTGTGTAGGTTTTCCCAATTTCTAATAATGCCCATTATTACAAACTGGATTGGGATTAAATTTAGTTTTAAAAATATTGAATGACTTTAAGGTAAAGTCTCACATTATTATAAATTTTGTAATTATTGTCATTGTTTCCATCAGTCTTTACTTGTAGTTGGATTCCCTAACTCAATTTTTGAAATACAGACAAAAATCGGTACGATTCGAATGCCTTTAAATTCGGTAATAAACGAAATTTGTCGCCAAGCCTACCGACAGATACCAATGTTGTCAACCTTTTACTTCTTTCTATTTAAAAAGTTGTGCTTACCGATATTTGTCGGTTACTCCAAAATTGTGTTGTAGAATCGCACTACTGATAGGCAAGAGGTTGTATCGCATAGGCAAAAGTGTCAACCAAAGGAACATCTATCTAGAGCTTCGACATATATCATGTGGTTCTTCGCGACTTCAACGCGGTATCCTAATAGACAAACAGAATAATGATCTATCAGCAAAAACGCATTGCTTCCTTTTATGACATTGTAAAAACTAGAATTATTAATGCCAAATTCTTCATCCAGGGCACGGAGGTTGGAACCAATAAATGCCACCAACAACATGCTGATAACACAACTAATGTAAGCATTAAAATTTTATCATAGTGGTTCTATGTGTTGCAATGTCTTCAATAGTTCATTTGTTTGTTTGAGTCCAAATGAAGGCATAAAACATCCGATCTTTTCTTCAATAAACAGGAGCCATATTGAAAACTTTGTTGTTGATTAATCCGGTTCGTATTCGATGTCCACATTTAGGAATTCTGCTACCTTTATGGGCTGTAGCCAGAGATCCTCTGGACGGAGTTGGGGAAGCTTGGCTGGACAATTGATCAGATGCAGCGTATTGTGCGGGCCTGGCGTTCTACACACCTTCGTCAATTCGTGCCCAATATGAATTGAGACGGCTGCACCATCCTGAACGTAGTTGGCCAAAACTACAATGGATGGGCGTGGACTCCGAGTATGAGTGGACTCCATTCATACTGTAATTGTTAACTACGTCTGCGACTGCATCAGTATGGATGCTTTTCAGACCCGCTTGATAGGCTTCATGATCTAGGGGGCTCTCTCTTATATCGCTGGACCTCTCTCTCTAGATCATGCAGGTCCTTCCTGACAAGTCTGGGAGTTCTGCCCAACACTAAAGTTAGTCTGTCAACAAAAGCATATGATTATGCTGACGTAAGTGAAGAGACTTCGTCTCCTCATGGCATAGCAGGTCTGAATACTTTTCCACTGCGTTGCACTCGTATTCGAAGACCACACAGGAGCAGACCGACCTATCGCTTTATATGAGGTCAAAAAGGTTTGTGGATCTTGTTCCTACTTTTCAATTTATCACAGATAGCTGTATCTCGCACGGAATATTTGATTATGCTATCGAATGCGATCCCACGGATTTTGAATATTCAGATAGTGTGGCCCTTGATTTAAATACGGATGTTTTCAAGTTCCTCGCATGGAAGAAGGCGGCAAGCTCCATGAGATAGCTGTTCATTCTGACACATATGTCATCAACAACAGGACCTGACGCCATGATCCTCATATGTTCTGAATTTTGGAAATGTAGAGGTTAAACAGCTCCGTAGATATCACCCCATATTGGGGAACTCCCTGTTTCACTCTACTGGGCTTAGACTTCTTGTTCCGGAATTCCACCCATGACTGGCGTCCACACATATAATTGACTATCCAACGTTTCAAACTTTGCCGGAGGGTAGTATTCTCAACGTCCTCGAACAGCAGCGTGGCTTGGTTGACCTTATCAAAGGTCTTTAATAGATCAAGAGCCACCACTACTGTTTTATGGCACCGCCTGTTCTGGTTGAGACCTCGACTGATATATGTGGGGATATGGCGTGCAATGCCGTTGTGGTACAATGTAGTGGACGGAAACCGTGTTGATGGTTAGCAACTGAATAGCTTCCTCTGAAAACTTTGATTATTGGTTCTGGGTTGGATATAGCTTTCATATATAAATTCATCTGATTTCAACGGATCATATCACGAAATTTAGTCTACAAGAAAATCTGTCTACAAAAAGTTCAGGCAATAATTCCAAGCTTAGGATCCAAAAATGATGAGGATCTTTCAAAGACCACTCTATTTTAAAAAGAAGTGCATGTGACAAAAAAGATACCGATGCGGCATCATTGGAATCTTGTTTCAAAAATACCTCGGTCGGCTATAGCATTTGGATGTCAAAAACCGTATTGAGTTTTCCCTTTAATTTAATAAGCATTAGGTTTTGTAGGACTGGATAGATTGTATGCAAGTGGGCAGTGTTAATGTAACGCATGGTCCTCTGTAAATTATCCAGTTTTTTAACGACTTTATTCCGAAATCGTATTTATAATAAGCTGTTGATAATATCAATTCGAATTTGTTCTTTAAAGAACAGGGAAGTTTTCTGACTTAAAATGATATTTTAAATGAAAATATGGTACATGTTGACTGATTTTTCTATTGCTCTGTTCTGATATTTGAAGTTTAAGTTAATTACTTGAGAGATCGACACCATTGATATCGAAGAACACGATTGACGGATTGTAATACAACACGCAAAAATTACATTTATGCTGCTTGCAAGTCTAAATTTACCTGGTACTATTACGCGCTCCAATAACAACAATAACGCTATAATGTTGACATAACCGCATTCTGTCAAAAACTATGAGCAAATCTAACCAAAACTTTCATCAAGCGAAGCGAAAAGGTAACAGTAATATTTAAAGAATAGTGGATATACAGAAATGCTACTAAAGTTAGTCTGTAGTCTTGCAAATTTCCTCATTACCTGTTGGTGTTTTTTTTTTGTTTATGTGCCATTAATTTCTAACTACCGGCTGCCGGTATTCGTTCATGAACCTGAGCACTGAAAACTTGTCATTCATTGGTTAGCTGTTGATTGTTGTTGCTGTTGCTCTTGCAGAAATTAAGAGCAAGAAAACTATTTGTTGATAATTTAAAAGAATACAAAAAGGCAAATTTGCCAATACAGACTAGGTTATGGTAATTTATAATGAATTGCGCACTTATGTGTATTGTTTAAAATCAAAAGCATTTATTTTTTTTGAAATACTTATACGGAATATGTGATTACTGGATTTTTTAAAATTTATTATAAAACACCCTCCCCAATATTCGAAAAACATTAAATCTACAAGTGGACCATTATACACAAGTTTATATAAGTCAGATAAGTATTTGATAAACTAAATTACAATTACAATGGAAGAGAATGCTTTCTGAAAGTTGGCTATATCCAATTAAAATTGCTAAATTACATGGAGGTCAGATAATGGGTATAGCAAAGAAAAAAACACTTACTGTAGAGAGTTTTCTTTATATTTGGTCGATATCAACGACTAGGTCTCTTTGGATCAAATCCGTTTAAGGACATTTGGAATCGATCTAGCGATGTCCCTCTGTCTGGCTGGCTGACCGGTGCGCACGATAACTCTCGAAGGGAGTGTCCGATTTGATACAAACTTGGACATCGTAATATTATTGTCAAACTTAGATCGAGTTCGGAGATGGACAATATCGGTCCACTCCTTCTTCCCCACAAAAGCTCAACATTTCAAAAAAAAAAAAAAAAAATACTGCACAGAAAAAGAAAAGATAATCTGATTTTGCTCCAACTTTGTATATCCTAATATAAGCATGAGTACTAGGTCAGGTGGACAATATCGGTCCACTCCACCAAGCACCTCCCCCACAATTGGTTAAGATTTTGAATAACCAAAACGATTATAAAATCAGAAATAAGCATCCGGTTCTCTTGAAATATCACACATCACAATATTTTTATTAATCCAAGGTCTGGTGTGAAGATGGGATATATAGGTTCACTCTTTCTGTTACCTCCTCCACAAAGGGTCAACATTTTGAATATTCAAGAAGCTCATAAAAACCAAATTAATATCCGATTCCATTCAGACTTGCAACATCCCAATATTTCCATCAACACAAGATCTGTTATTAAGTTGGTAGAAATCGGACAATTCCTTCTGGAACCTCCCCCACAAATGGTTAACATTTTGAATAATCAGCTATGGTCCGCCTGTATTCTAACGGAACTTCGTTGATGCCTCATCGAATATCAGGTTTAGTTACCGAGACCTTGCCATGGTCGACCCCAGTCACTTCACGACGAGGACAACATATGGAAGAAGAAATATTAAAAAAACACCTTTTAATAAAAAACCAATCCTATTTCGTCTGATGCTGGTGTGGAGGCCTTGGCACCCTCAGTCAATAAAGCTACAAATGCGAAGTTTACGTCCACCTTAACAAGAATGGCTCTTAGATCGGATTCGGACAGTGTTTCAGGATCGTCTGCTACCAGTAGTAGGACGAAGCGGACGAGAAGTCTGGGAGGTAACAATGCTCTAACATCGGACGATAGTGTAGACAGTCAGCAATCTGATAAATCATTGTGGATATGAGACCGCTAAGGCTGAGTGAGGACAGCATCTATTCCTGTAGGCTTCTGGTAAACCCTCCTGTCTGATGAGTAAGAGGACATGGATACCACGGTAATCCATGCCTAGACCTCTAGTTAAGGATTGACTCCCAAGGTAGTCGACTAAATAGTTCCAGTGGTCCCTAATCGGGACCAACAATTGAAATTTAAAATTACTTTTTTTTAAAAATCGGTACGGATCTAAATCTAAACGAACAAATCTCGTTATAATCTGGACAAAATATTGGTTCCTACTGGGAGAAATAATGCACAAAATAATTTAATTTGCACCACCAATGTTCGGTTACAATTATAACTCTCTATCTTTTTCAGGCTCGCATTGCAATGCTACTTGGCGAACGTAAATGTCTGGAGAGCCTTAAATCGGACTTAACAAGACGTATTAAAATGTTGGAATACGCTTTGCGACAAGAACGTGCTAAATTTTATCGTCTAAAATATGGCACAGATCCGCCACAACTGAACGAACTGAAACCATCAGGAGATGACTCTTCGCTGGGCGGAGAAGTGGCACCAGATTCCGAGGTACCATACAGTTCAGTGTCAAATACAACCTGGCGCCAGGGCAGACAAATGTTGCGTCAATATTTGGCCGAGATCGGTTTCACCGATAACATTATCGATGTTCGCTCAAACCGTGTACGTTCCATATTGGGTCTTAACAACAATGCTGAGCAAGAAGAAAATGTTAGTCCAAACGTCAATGGGAATGAGAACAACAAAAGGGCCTCAGAATCGGAAGGTATGTGAGAAAAATGAAATAAGTAAGAAATAAGTGAGGAATACAATTAAAAATTAATAAACTTTCAGGTCGCCGCACTCCCGCAAAAAAGATACAACAAAATAACGATGCCATCATTCTGGATACCGAAGCTGCCGTAATGGCAAATTTCGAGTTTTTGGGACCCACAGAAATGTCGGATGACGATGAGATTTCCGACGATTTAGAAATGGTTACCGGTGACAATGACGAAAGCGACATGAAAACCACCAAACGCATTAAACCCGGCAAAGATATACTAAGTGAAGGTAAATTAAATGTTTCAAGCTAAACCTTTTCCCATCAAAGGCTATCTTTCGCCAACAACGGAAGAAAGCCAATATTTGTACCAAAAACAAAAAAGTTATGTTAATCCTACAAAAAATAGGACAAATTGTGGCGAATATTTTTCTTGTTACATTACATTTCTTTTTATAAAATAATACATTAAAAAAATATTGAAAATATACAAATGAAGAACACACACACACTCTTATACTTTTCATTCATCCCCTTAAAGTCAATGATACTATATTTTTTATATCAAAGGAGTTTTAGGATTAAAAAAAAGGTTTTTATTAGAAGAGTATTGGTATTTTTTGTTGGGACACCGTAGTTATATAGTTTTTTGGGAAATTGACATCAGTTCGCTTGGACCTTGTCTAGTAGAGGATAAAACCCAAGGAAAATGATGAGGATTAGTGGCTCTCTTTCTGAAACCATTACATAGTGGTATTGATTTCTCCATATTCATACAAATGACTTGTACTAGCCCCTTTTTTGTATATTAACACCCCAACTAACACAGGAAATTTAGTTTAAAATATTTCAGATTTGAATGTAAGCCCCACAAAAATTACCAGTTATTCAAAAATATTCTAAATAAATGTAAATGTCATTCATAAAAAAGAATGAATGGTATAAGGATAAATATAACGTAGGAAAGATAATATGGACAGCGAAATTAGACTTGGATTAGATGTCATAGCTATCAAGAAAACATTGGATTCTTACGCGAGATTATAAAACTCAAATGTTTCGCTTTCCTAGAATAAGTTGTGTTTTTGAAAATGTTATTTAATGTCCAGTTTTCTGAGGCGTCGTTATTCGGAGTAGAGTTAAATTGGGACATTTTTTCTGAAATATTTTCTGTTAGAGAAACAGGTGATAAATATTTAAATTAAAAACGAAAATTTATTCAAGAAACGAATAAAAATACTATTAATCTCGATACTATTTCACATTAACGTCAGTTTTATACCTTATGACCAATTTCTTCTCAGTACTTAAAAATGTTTTTTATATTTTGTCATATTTCCGCCCCTTTTTCATATCATTTGATACGACTAGCTTTCTTTGCACTAAATCCGTTTCAGGACATTTGGAGTCAATTTAGCGATGACCGTCCGTACGTCTGTCTGTTTGTCTGGCTGGCTCTCGAAGGGAGTATCCGATTTGATCCAAAGTTGGTACATCGTAATATTATTGTCAAACAGATTGAGTTCAGAGATGGGCAATATCGGTCACGAAGCTCATAAAACACGAAACTAACATCCGATTCCATTTAGACTTGGTAAATCTCAATATTTCCATCAACACAAGATGTTTTACAAAGACGGTAAAAATCGGACCATTCCTTCTGGTGCCTCCTCCACATAGGGTTCAAAATGTTTGAAAAACAAAACGCTCAAAGTAGGCGAAATAAGCATCCAACTCTCTTCTAATTTCACACATCCAAATATTTTTGCTAACGCAAGATCTGCAGTGGAGATGATGTATATCTGCCAACCCCTTCTGGTACCTCACCCACGAAGACTCACAATTTCCAATACTTATATTTGTTATAATCTGCGAAACATGTCGGGCATTCTTTATAATTTGCTATAACTAATTTTTTCTCTTAACCAGAAATCTGGTATTAATATGTTATATTTTCGAAATTTATGATTTCGCATAAAATAAGATATTAATGTTGGATTTCCTTCAAATTTTACGTATACCAATATTTTTTATCTGTATTAGCAGTAGTATGAAAATGGAATTCTTCGGTCCGCTATATCTGTTAGTTCACGCTTATTTCCAAATTTTCCAAAAATTGACACATACTTTATATAAAGTATAGGAAGTAGTTTAAATAGTCCAAATTTGGCATGCTGAAGTATTTATAGCAGTCTTAACTCGAGGCTGAGGGTATACATCTGTCGGTCAAACCGCCGACTTGTTATATATACCTATTACTCCTTCGATATTTCATAGCATCATTGGCATCTATCTCTATTTTTCGTCATCCAACAAAAACAAACTGAAAAGAACCAAAAAAAACCGACAACAAATGTAAAATCAATATTTGTTTACTCTATCTTTGCTCTATCTCTCTTTGATATTATGCAAACCTTTTTTCATTTATTTATTTTCTTTTTTGTTGCATTATGAACATATATCTATGTATATGTATGTATGTATATTAATGTGAAAAAAAAAAAACAAACAAACAAACAAAATAAATATTACGTTTAATCTATAAACTATTGAATCCGATTCATATGTATAACACAAAAAAGATCTGGGTGCTGAGTTGGGAGAACAGCTGCTCAATGATATCAATCTTATCACAGAAGGTGCTTATTATGTTAATATTGTTTATAGTTTATGTTAATTAGCTATGTTATAAAAGCAAAAAAAAAAAGAAAACCCTGAACCAAAACAAACTGCACACCAAAAATTATTGGGTGTTATGTTAATGATTTATTGTTTTTAAAATTTTTTAATTATTAATTTTTAAACAATAAACACAATAATGGTAAAATTGAGTGTTGGAAAAAGATTTGCCATTCTTAATAAAATGGAAACCTAATTCAAAAACAAATTAAATCTCATACGTTGCTCTGTTCCAGAACCTGCAAGACTCTAGTATTTATATACTCTTCACCACAGTATGAAGGGTATATTAAGTTTGTCATTCCGTTTATAACACCTCTGAATATACGTTTTAGACCCTACAAAATATATATGTTATTGATCAGCATAAAATTCTATGTCGATTTAGCGATGTCCGTCCCTCTGTGGAAATCACTCTAGCTTCCGAACGAAATGAAGTAGATTGATAAAAATTTTTCTCAAATATATATTATGTCTGCAAGACTTTTGGTATTGAAAATGGAACATGCAGGTCCAAGTTTTGGTATAACCCCCATATAGATGTACCTCCCGATATTCGGTATTTTGGTGATTTTAGAGACATAATTCACCGGAATTGTTTCCAATTTGATATTTAAAGTTCGAAATGAATACTACAGCCTAATACAGACAATTGTCTGTGCAGTTCCACGTCTTCGTATAGCCCTCATATAACTGTACCTCCCGATATTCGACATTTTGATGATTTTATCGACATTATTCACCGGATTTGCTTCAACTTTTTTATTTAAAGTTCGAAATGAATACTACAACCTAAGACAGAAAATTGTCAATGCAGGTCCACGTCTTCGTATAGCCCCCTTTTAACGGTACCTCCCGATATTAGGTATTTTTTCACCAATTTTTTTTAAGTTTCGCATTTGAATATTGTAATGGCTTATGACAAAAGTTACCTATGCAGGTCCATGACGTCGTATAGACCCTAATAAAATGGCTACATTCGGTATTTTTAAGATTTTTATAGAATTTTTAACGGATTTTATTGTTTTTGAGAATTGCCAAATTCGTTACAAATGGTGGAGGGTATTAAAAGTTTGGACCGGCCGAACTTACAGTTTTTTTTTACTTGTAAGAATTGTTACGATATTATATATTATAAAGGAAAAATTCTGGAACAGACCACGTATCTTACACTCAAAACTATTTACCATTTTTGTTTTATTTAACTCTATTTTGAATTCATTAGGTACTCAAAAAAGAAATATTCTTAAAAATCTAAATTTGCATTTCCGTTTATTTCCCCAATGCTTATAATTTGTATGTATGCCATTGTTATGGGATTATTTTATGTTTTGTTAATGTATGTACACCACTTTTATTAAAATACAATTCCAAATTCCGTAGTTATTTTTTATTTACAATTAAATTGAAATTGATTTGATATAATAATGCGAAACTAATATTTTTTCATTACACTCTTTTTCCATTTATTGCCCCCATCTGATTTGAATCTGGTCTGTGTCTATCTATCTCTCTGTCGCTCTGTGCCTGCTCATGATTGGATTTGTCAAAATAAACGCGAAAATTTATTCATCATTTTCATTACAAATTGTGTCACTCTTCAAACAAACAAATAAAACGAAACGAACGATCACCTAACCACCCAACTCTATTGGATGCCCCTCCCCAAGGATATTCATCATCGAATGTTGAACAAACTAACAATACGGTAAACACAGCCGCCTCGGCTGCAGCTAGACGCAATCTAATCACAGCTGTAACTGCGGCCGGTGATGAGGATGTCGATGCCTCATTGGGTTTGGGTGAATTGGCTCAGCTGACAGTGAATAACGACTCGGAGGGCTCTTACGATTCGAATACAAAGGATGGCTCGGGTGGTGGAGCTTATCGTAAAACCTGGAATGCCAAATACACATTACGTTCACATTTCGATGGGGTCCGCTCGCTGATTTTCCACCCGGAGGAACCGGTACTGATAACAGCCTCAGAAGATCACACCCTTAAGCTGTGGAATCTACAGAAAACGGTACAAGCCAAAAAATCTGCTAGTCTTGATGTTGAACCATTGTACACATTTAGAGCCCACACTGGCCCAGTTCTGTGCTTGGGAATGTCGACCACAGGTGAAACCTGTTATTCCGGCGGCCTGGATGGCAATATTGAGTGCTGGAAGCTACCCTCGCCCAATATTGATCCATACGATTGCTATGATCCCAGTGTTCACTCGGGCACCCTGGAGGGCCACACAGACGCTGTCTGGGGCCTGGCCACAATGCACAGTAATATCGTGTCATGTTCGGCCGATGGCAGTGTCAAACTCTGGTCGCCCTACAGCAAAGAGCCATTGCTACGCACCTACACCGCTTCCGAGGTGGAGGGTGTACCCTCATCGGTGGACTTTGTGCGCAATGAAGTTGACCACATTGTCGTGGCCTACAACAGTGCCCACTGCTTAATATACGACACAGAAACCGGCAAACAAGTCATAAAACTGGAGGCTGCTCAAGAAATGTCTGGCAATACGGGGAAATTCATCAACAAAGTGATCTCACATCCAACATTGCCGATAACAATCACAGCTCACGAGGATAGACACATACGATTTTGGGACAACACATCCGGGCAATTGGTGCATTCAATGGTTGCTCATTTGGAACCAGTCACATCGCTGGCGGTCGATGCTCATGGTCTATATTTGTTGTCTGGCTCCCATGACTGTTCCATACGCCTGTGGCATTTGGATAATAAAACGTGTGTGCAGGAAATCACAGCGCATCGTAAGAAGTTCGATGAGAGTATATTTGATGTGGCGTTCCATGCTACGAAACCTTATATAGCCAGTGCGGGCGCAGATGGTTTGGCGAAAGTGTTTGTCTAGATGGCAATCATTGTTGTGCGTTGTCGTCGTCGTATCTAGTTGCAGTAGCAGTAGCAGAAATCATCACCACCAACAACAACAACAACGATTTTACGTAAGATAATTATGTGTGGAATTTCTTGGAGGATCGTCCGAAGATGATGATGATGGTGGTAAATAATGTATGTTTATATTATGATAATACGAAATCAATTCCAGTTAGTTGATTAGAAATGAAACGGAAAATAGCGAAGCGAAAACGATACTAAAACTAACAACCATCAGCAAGAGGAAGGAAAGAAAGAAATCATCTAAAATTATCTATATATTCTTACAAAAAAAAAAAACAAACTAGATCATCATTACAAAAGAACTCACACATATACAAAGTACAGTAGTAGCGACATTTAATATTCAGTTGAATTCTTTGTCAAGATCAAAGAATCGAAACCAGGCAGGCAAGCTTTTGTATCCTTTGTGGTTAATTTGCACAAATGCCGCTCAACAGAAGAAGCGCGTGTTGAGGAGAATCGATCTATAACTGCAATGCAAATGAGTAGAAGGATGCTAATACATACATAATGAATGCGAGGAAGAAAAAAACAGCAAAACATTTTAACATTAATTAAATTATGTTATAATAAAAAAAGCAAACAAAGAAACAGATATAAAACTTAAAACAGTAAAGAAAATATATAAAATTAAATGATAATAATTCCCGCATATACAATAATAAAAATAATGATGATATATTTTATAAACAAAACCCCCCCCCCATTACATTAACTAAACACATACACACCACACACAGCGCGACACATTACTGTTTAATTTAAAGAATAATAATAATTATATATATACATATTTAAATAAAATCAATAAAAACAACAACAATTAAACTTCATACAACAACAACAAAAATATTATGCACATAATACCCTCTCCCCTCCAAAAAAAAAAATCTCCTGCTCCATAAGCAAAAACAAATTAAAAATTTATCGTTATTAGAAAATAAATCATGATTTAAATGAAAGCAAAATTTTACAAGAAAGTAAAAAAAAAGTTTGAATACGAAAATCTCTCGAGTAGGCATTTCGGATGGTATTTATATATGAAAGCAAAATTTTACAACAAAGAAAAAACTCATATATTTCTCCAGTTTGAATACAAAAATCTCTCGGTTAAGCATTTCTTACGGTATTTATACAAACCGAAAATGTAACACTCATTTTTTCAGGGGAGTATATATGGGGGATTGCCTTCTCTGTATGACTCCTTAAAAGGCTCCATTCAAGAAGAAACCCATTAAACTGAACATTAATAATGTATTGCCTGATGAAACCAGATTAACAATCCATCACTGTTGTATGAGTCAGAGTCAATTTCATTAAAGAAAAAAAAATATTTTTTATGTTAGAGAGGAGAGGAACAGGGCTTCAGGTGATGATATATATATAGGCAATGCCGCAACCTGGCATATTAATCTCAAATTTTAAAGGAAAAAGACAGCAGGGGTTCCAGAGCCGCACTAAAATTCTGCCGTCGTTTTCCATTATAATTTGACATTTATATGCCTAGCCATGACTTGAAGCTTTTTTATGTACTTGCACCTTTCGTTTTTCTTCGCCTCCTGCTCTTTCTTCATATGAAACTGTTTTGTGAATAAATCACGATTTAGTTTGGTTTCATCAAACCTATGTTGTATACACAACGCGTATTTGAAAACACCCATCAAAATGGTTTATAATCAACAATATCCACACATAATTACCAGTTAAATAGGATTCCTACCTACTTACTTCTGAATAAATACCAACAGAGAATCATTTAAAACGCCGTGTTCAACTATATTTGATTTTTTTCTTTTTGTTTTTCATAGTGACAACAATAGATAAACAATAAATAAATTTATATTTTCAAAATGCATTCTCTCTTTTAATGCATCCATTCAATTCATTTGTTGCTAGGCTTTTAATTTTTGTATAAATATATCCATAATTAAATTGATTTTATTTTTACTTTATATATATAAAAAATTAAACGTTATTTTGTCTTTGATACGAATTGAAGCTTGTAGCTTTCAATTGACAAAAGAGTTTATTTGCAACAACATGTTCGAATAACATTGGACTCTGAAAAAATGTGTTTTAATAAAATCGCGTTTGGATTTCAAACTAATATAAACATAAATATAATCCCAAAATAGAAGAATATAAGTATCAAAAGGGATCATCAAGGAAACCGATATTCAGTGCCTCAATTGAAAAACTTAAAGATGCTCAATTTTTTTTTGGATCGATATATGTGCCAGACTATTCGGCCCAATTACGGTTGTCATTTCTATAGTCGTCGTTGACGTTATGACCAAGTCGCCATCGTCGTCGCTTCGATTCAAAATTGGTATTACTGTAATGCATAGAGGCGACATCGACAGTTAAAAAAAAAAAAACAAAATTGATGCCAAATTATAGCTGACACGCTTACCTTTCCAAAATTCTACAACTTATTTCTCTGCCCCCAAGAAAAAAATAATATCCCGAAATCAGGGTAAAAATAACTACCTCTGAAAAAAAATTTCGAAGAGTTTTTACTAAACTAGAGTTGTTCCAATTGGCCACAGCCTTGAGATTTTTAGCGCTCGAATCTTAGTTGACCAGAGTCGGGGATGACTTCAGTATTTCCAAATTGTTTTGCTGTTGTTATTTTCATGGTAAAATGTCAAATACAAAATGGTTAAAATATCAACCTCGAGTAAAAAATATAAATGTCCCACACCGGCTACCGCGAATCAAAGATTTCTAAAATTAATTATTTTTGTACGTAGTCCACAAATAATATTTGATTATGGGGATTATGACCCAAAAAAGTTATTAATCCCCATAATTGCAATAGGGTTTGAGACCGTGGGGATTATGTTCGGGTGCCGGTTTTGCATTTTCCATTTCAAATAAAAGTGTAAATGTAATTACATACAAATTTGCGCCTAATTTTGCGTGGGTTTAGAGTTGAGACCAGCGAAAAAAAAGCTCTTTTTGTTTACTAACGTACGAAAACCAAAAATTCTATTTGTCTGCCATTTGCCTAACAATTAGAAGAAAAATAAGTTTGGTGACCAGGCTAATAATTCCAATTACCCCTTTCAAATTCAAGTGAAATTCTTCGGATTCCAATTATCTCTCTTAAATTCAAGTGAAATTCTTCGAATTGCATGTAAAAGTAGACTAAACTTCAATTTCTATCAAAATACAAAATAACGTTTTATATTTTAAATTTTTATAAATATATATATTAAAAAATAATTATTTATTTATACTGACGATGCAATGTATTGAATTTTGTATTGGTCCTCTTGCCTGGTGTAAGAGACCATACATACATTTTAAGAAAATAAAACCAGAAAACGAACAAAATAAAGTAAATTTTAGTAACACTTAACTAAGGATATAAAATAAAAAAACAATATACAGTCTGCCAATAAAATGTTTTGCGAATAAAGCATTTTTTAATTGTTGAGGCATATGTTCTGGATTACAGAGTTATTCTGCGTCCAGGAAATATCATTTTGACAAAACATTTTCTTTGCAGACTGTATTGCAAAGTAGTATTGAGCCAAAAACTAATTAAAGAAATCGGATATATGAAATTCTAAAATAATAATTAATAAAATAATTAAGGATTCACCATGACTTCCTAAACTCCCCAAAAAAAAAAAAAATAACTACATAAAATTCAAATTAATACATCTCGAAATTAAAAATAAAAAAATGTCTATGTTTAAAATATTTTTAGTTCAAAAATACACACACACATAAAAAATAACACAAACACAATACTGTATTATATAAGAACATATAAAATCAATAAATCACATTTAACAAAAAAAAAAATCCGATGGAAATTGTAGTCGTTCGCTTAGTAAACTATTTTTAAGAAACTCAAAAAAGAAAAACAGAAAACAAGTAGTTTTAAACTTTAAAAAAGGAACAACTTAAGTATAAACAACTCCATATAAATAAACATAATATTAATTTAAAAAAAAAATGAAAAAGAAAAATTATTGAATTACAAAATGCTTGATATTATGAAGAAGTATCCTTTAGAAAAAAAAAACAAAGCAAATTAAATATAAATATTTTGCTTTATTTTTTAATTTGAGATTGAAATTTTATGAAAAAAAAGAAACTTCACATATTATTTTTTTTAATTTATTATTCTTCTCTTTAAACCCCTTTCATTCTCCATCTATCTAACTTTCATTTCAATGTTAGTACATATATATATACATATTTTATTATTATTTTTTAATATATATTTTACAGATTTCTTCATTTAATTTTATTGTATATTTGTTTTTATTTTGCTAATTTTAATTTTTGATTATGTTCGATTTATTAAAAAAGAAAAACTTTAATATATCGTTCATAATTCTCTATATTATTATTATACATAACATAACATGATATATATACATATAAAAATTTGACAAATAAAAATATAGAAATTAATAAAAACAAAAAAAAACAAAACAAAATACCACACATCTTTTGTTGCAAACATAGTTTAAATCAGTGAACGGCAAACGTCTAAGCGTTTTAATAGAAAACACAAGTGAGTGTGTGTGTGCATACACCCAAAAAAAGTCGTGCTACTGTGTTACGAGCATGATAACAAGTTCTTTTGAAATCATTGTCAAGATGGTTTTTATTTAAAAATAAAAGTAATTCTGGGAATAAATACAAAGTTTAAAATGTAATATGCTCTACGCTCCTTAGATGCGTCCGCTCTCGGTCAATGCTCAACGACGACTGACTCATAAACTCATTTTGATAGTTGACAATTCGGCCTCTCCTGACTCTTCGTCCCTCCTGGGCGAACCATCATCAGACTCATCTTTATCTTCGATTTCGAGACTTGGATCACCATAGCACCAGGGCTTCATATGATCGGTCGACATAACACCGCAATATTTCCTTTGCTTCAAACTTAAATCCGGCAGATCCTCTACCAGATAACGATCGTTTCCGATAATTTTCGTGACGATGTATGGTCCTTTATACCGCGCATCCAACTTATGCGATTCTCCTGTAGGCTGCGGTACCGTGTCTATCACCACCAAATCGCCTTCCTTGTACTGAGTTGGCTTGGAATGACGGCTGTCAAATCTTGCTTTCCATTTTTCCTTTTGTTTCTGGATGTTAGCAACAGCCTGCTGTTGAATTACCCTAACATCGAAATTCTCTCTTTCTTCATCACCAACCGCCTGGATAATTCTATTGTAACTGACATCTCTGAGACTAAAGTTGAATATTAAGTCATTTGGACTGAACTTTGTAGTCGCATTCAGCTGCGAGTTAATACTCCACTGTATCGTTGTTGTCTCAGTGTCCCATTCTTTTGTATCACCTACTAGACATTTCAACGCATTCAAAACTGTCTGGTTGATCCGCTCGGCTTGGCCATTGGCTCTTGGTGTTCGGACTGCTGTTTGTACATGTTGTATTCCGTTGTATTCCACAAACTGTTGGAATTCTTTAGACGTGAACGCCGTTCCCTTATCCGATACAATTCTTCGTGGCTGTCCGAAAATCGACATAACTTCTCGCAGCGCTGTTATAACCGGAGCAGTCTTTGTATTCCTGGTTGGCTTTATAAACGCCGTGAATTTCTTGGATTCTTCCTTGACGTGTATCTGGTAATATCCTGATGTCATGTCTAACGTTGTAAAATACTTATTTCCAGATAACAACGAAAGTTGTTCTTCAAACACTGGCATCGAGTACTGCTTTTTGATGGTGACTTCATTTAATGCTCGATAATCCGTACACATACGACTTTCACCGTTCGCCTTTTTGACCAACAATACTGATGCTGCATAGGGCGAATCACTTGGGCGAATAATACAACATCGAAGCAACTTGTCAATTATGTCTGACAGAATTTGTCTTTGAGAAAATGGAACTTGGTATCTTTTACCAACTACAGGCTTGTCCGTAGATAAACTTATTTCCATTTGTGTATTTTTACACCTTCCAAGGTCTTCAAGGGTTTCAGCAAAACAGTCCTTGAATGACGACAGTATTTGGTCTAATTTTTCCTTTTGATGCTCATCCAGACTTTCTCCGACATTAAATGTACTTGGCATTGTTGACTTTACTTTCAAGACACCATGCTCAATTGTAAGTTTTGTTTGCTTCTTACACAATACGTCTCTTCCTAAGAGAACGTCATATCGCATCAAGTCATTCGGCACTACATAAATGGTAGTCATTAAACTCTCCTCGTCGATGACAACGTTAGTCTCAAACATTTCCACCACTTCAACAATAGATCCACCAAAACCTTTCATTCTTTTTGACGTTACTTCCATATCGCAACCCTCTGGAACTACAGCTTTCCGCATTAAGGTAAAGTCGCTTCCAGTGTCCACAAAACCTTCATATGTCTTACCATTGACCGTGACATCTTTCATAACCGGTGGGCAGTAATCCTTAGACTCTTCTGTCATTGCTGCCACAGTTGTACCTTTACCTTTGCATTGCGATGCATCGTGACCAATCTTTGCACATTTGCTACACTTCGGCTTCTTCAATGGTTGTGGGCAACTAGTTGAGATGTGCCCAAACCTGTTACAATTGAAACATTTTACTCCCTTGGCTGGCGCTCCACCTGAGACACTTGCGGTTTTGTCATCCTCGTCATTCTTTGTTTGCTTCCTTGCATACGTTTGTATGGTCACATTCTCCAACGACCTTAATAATTCACTACATGTCTGCGGGTTCATAGCTAAAAGTGTTCTTGTTAAGCTGCTATCATTGAGACCATTTATGATGTACGACAGTATTGATGCCTCATCTACGCTTCCTCTTTTCCCTATGGCCAACATTGCGTAATAATATTCCACCAAAGACTCATTCGAGTTTCGTTTCCTAGCTATAAGTTCACGATGAATGTCAGCAACACTTACTCGACTTGGGAAATCCTTTAAAAATTGTTGTCTGAACTCTTTCCATGTTTCAACCACTGGTAAAGCATCTATCCACATTTTAGCAACACCACTCATTTTATGATGAACTGCAAACAAAGTTGTTTCATCTGACCATCCATGAAGCCTTTGCAACGTTTCAACCTTGTCAATGAATTGGACTGATGTAACATTTCCTTTAATTGGATCGAAGTCTGGTATCATTACTATGTAATCCTTTAAACAACCAGATGTTCCGGAACCAGATTGTCTTGATATTACTTCAGCTGGAACTTGCTGTTCTGTATCCCTTGAATTTAACCCTGCATTTGACGTAATAGCCCTTTCTGTTGAAAGTGTTGTTAACTGTTGCACACTTCTTGCTAGAGTCAACATTATATCCTTTAGCTCTCGCATTTGACTTGTTAGAGAATCATCACCCGTCTCAGCTTCATCAAATCCCTGGAAATCCTCCTGTGACTCTGAATCTTCAACTTCCACTTCGTCATTTCCATTGCAAGCCATGAGTCTAGCAATTTTCTCGGACTTATTTCCTGTTCGTGGTAAGCTTCTTGCCAGTAATAATTTGTCTAGCTCCGCAACCTTTAACGAACTTATTTTCACCTTCATACTTTTCCTTGTGAATTTTCCTTTTTAATTCGTTACTTCAGCAAATCTAGAACTATTCCTTTTTTTTTTAGAAGCCGCACGCCCTAAAAATATACGTTAACTTTTCCCTTTTTAAACTTCTTCTTCGGGGTTCCCCTCTTTATGTCTTGCTTTCAATCTCCTTGATGTACTATCGTTGTCCTACTCACTCACACTTTTGAGTATACCTTTGTACATTCTCCTTTGATTGATGCTTTCTTCTTTGCTCTCTTTGAGCACGTTACACACTCTCACTAAACTCACTCGAACTTTTGAGTTTAGGTGCCTTTGCGTGGTTTCTCCTTTGGTCGTCGTTGTTGCTTTGCATTGAGCTCTTCACTACTACATCACTTTGACGCCTTAGTTTCTCAGCTCTTTGAGTATTTTTCTGCAATTCTTATCCAAAATGATGAAATTCCTTGTAGATTTCTGTTCTTATCCCACTTCTGATTCTGTCAAGATGGTTTTTATTTAAAAATAAAAGTAATTCTGGGAATAAATACAAAGTTTAAAATGTAATATGCTCTACGCTCCTTAGATGCGTCCGCTCTCGGTCAATGCTCAACGACGACTGACTCATAAACTCATTTTGATAGTTGACATCATTTTTACATTTTTTTAAATTGTATTTTTTTAACGAAAGCAAAACATTTCGGAAATAGCATTAAATTTTAGAATAAATCTAGATTTGATCGAATTGGTCATCTTTGGCACGAATTATGGCCTTCAAACGGCCAATGAAACCATCACACGCTGCCCGAATGTTGCTCTACGGTATTTTGACCCATTCTCGGCGAAGCGCTTGCTTGAGGTGATCGAAACTTTGGTGTTTTTTAGGGCCAACCTTGCTTACCAAAATACTCCAGACACAATAGTGTAACGGATTGGTATCCGGAGATTTTGGTGGCCATTGTGCGCTGGAAATGAAGCGAAGAACCCCATTTTGTAACCATTCTTGGGTAGCGCGTGCTGAGTGCAATGGTGGTGAGTCCAGTGGGAATGTTCAAGGTCTGCGGCAAAAATGTTTGCATGCCCAAGGCTTTAATATACCCTTCAGAATATTTTCGCAATAATATTCAGCATTTATTCTGATGCCACGGTCGATTAATACCATGACCGGTGGCCAACCGAAGGTGCATATTTTCAGCTGACCTCTTTGGCAAGTCAACACAATAATTTTGTTTGTTTACAAACTGCTGAACTGTTGCGGTGTAGTTCTTTTTGTTGGAATTTCAATGGCTTTAACCCGAGTTCATTATTCAATATTTGCCGAATGGAATATTGCGATATGTTCAGCTCGATCAAGTCGCTTTTTTACTTTTCGTACCATTTCTGCTGATGTTGTTGTTTTCTTCCGTCAACTTCCTTGACGTCGGGCTACTGGTAGCGTAGCAGTAGCACGGTAACGAGCGATGGCACGAGACACCAAAGATTTATTCACATTTAAATGCTTGTGGTTTTCCAGCTAAATATAAAGAAATTACAATATCTCGCTTGAATTCCATCACGAATAACTTTTTTCCACAAACTAGACAGACTATTGTACAGTGAAATTATAATAACATTTGCAGCAAATTGGCAGCGAATTAGAAAAAGGGGTACTTTTTTTCAAAAGTAAACAATGTTTTATAACATCAACAATTTGTGCTATTTTTTATGATTCCTATTTAGTACACAAATTTCTTTTGGTCAGAGACTCACAATTGAATTTGATCTAGAATAATTCTTACTTTGACACTTTCCCCAAAAAATGAAGTATAAAGGGAGATTGCGACTCGTATTTGATGCGTGTTAATGTAAACATTAAAAAAAAACAAAGACATAATTTTCACCTTTAGTACATAGGTTTAGGTTAAAGTATGCGCGGTTGCAGTTTGGTAACCGTTCCACTCGGAAACCTACTGGTCCATTGTGTTCGTCCTAGAAAGAATAGTAAAAGAAAGAAAAGGGTGATGAAAGAGTGTGAAGATAGAATTATTACTGTAGGCCCTACAGTGTAGACCCTACAGTGTAGGGTCAGTGTTAGAAGACCGATCATGTGACGCTGGTTCCCCCCATCAACCTGCGTCTCACGTTAATATCCGCTTCCTGTCAGATTCGTTCAAAATTATATACAAGTTTTTTAATTTTTTTTTTTATTTTCTCTCATTTTTAAAACGAGTTAATAGCGCGAAAAATTAATTAAATGTCTGGTTTTTCTCTCAAAAATATGACCTTAATTGTTCAATCTTTCGATTTCATGGCCAAACTGGTTAATATTTTTAATGCGCGAACCGCAATGTACGTGTCTGCCAATCATTGGTTTTGAAAATATTTTGTTTTCATTTTTAAAACAACATATATATACACAAAATTGGCAGCAGTCGGGCACACTTAGAAAAAAATTGTAATTAGCTGGTAGCTCTACCAGCTAATTACAATTTTTTTCTTGCGGAATCTTATATTCGAAAATTCCCAAAAATGTGGGAGAGGGGGAAGCTTGCTCCCTCTATTTTGGTTACTTTTCGATGTAAACTTGTTCTGTTGGATTTGTCCGTAATTATTTTTATACTCTCCACCATAGTATGGAGGGTCACTCCGTTTGTAAAACCTCGAATCTTAGAACTGTCACATATTTAGATTTTCCAAATAAATTCACCTTATGGTGGTGAATCAATCAGGCTTTACTAATTTAATATCTGTTTTACATATGTTGGCTTTCAGCCAATGAGATCCCCAATAAAACCGTATCGCCAATTGAAACTTAGGAGAATTTGGGAAGATTTTTTTACTTCGAGATTTCGAATTCTTATGGACAATTATCTTTCTAAGAAATATACACGGGTTCATTTTTAAAACAACATCATTTTATAATGCAGGCTGATATTCAGTAATGTGAAAATAACTCTAATCAATTTGAACGTTTTTTGATCAACCGTTATTACACACAGTTTAGTTTACTTCTGAATCACTTGGCTGGAATTGTCGATAACATTTTTCGTTAGTGTTTGGCTGACGCAATTTTCTTTACTTTGTCGGGTGCATTACGTGTGGTATTCTATGAAATACAGCAGATTATTTAAAAAAAAACTATTTCCGAAACCGCTATCAACAAAGCCCAATTAATACCAAACTGCAATAAAATATATGTGAGAACTAATTCATTTTTTTAGAAATTGTGATCCATCTATGTGTTATCCTCATTGGTAGCAGCGTAACACCTTAAAATGTAGTACTTTTCGATAGACCCATTGTTTTCAGTTTTCCCCACATTAATACAAAATCATTTCAAAAGGGATTGTTGTCGTATCGTAGCATGTTATACGACGACAGGATATTAAAACAAGACATAACCTTAAAAAGCAATTAATATAATGCCTAAATTCTACAACCAAAAACAAAAAAAAAAAAAAAAGAACGAAACAAAATCATCATGCCGCATGTGGTTCCCTGGGAAATACCTATTGAACAAAAGAACATAAAATACATTTATAATCTAAAATGCTTATAAAATAAATAATAAACCAAATGAATAGAAGATACAACCAAACTGAAAACACCACCACTTATAACGTTTTTTGTAGATACTACCATTAACCAGAATTGAAAAAGAAAACTGAATCACTTCAATAAAAACAAATACCAACAAACCACATTTAATATACAATTAAATTAAATTTTTATATAAAAAGACAAACAAAATATATATAATATATTAAACTACAACAGCAGCAAAAAAAAAAAAAAAAACAAACAAACAAAAAAATAGTTGAACAAATTCATAAAAGGAAATACTCTTAGGTTTAAATACTTAACAATACCGGCGGGTATTGTAAAAAATTTAATAAGAACTCAAGACAAATGAAATCTTTCAAGACGAGAATAATGAAAAATGATAACAAACATAATACTCATATTCATATGTAATCGTTCGTTGCATTGTGTAAAATTAAACAAAAAAAGTAAGAAACCCACACTCACCATCTATTTCTAACGATAAGTAGTTACAAAAAAAAAAAACAGCAACAACAAAACATAAAGGTAAAAACAAATAAAAGAGGAAGAAAAAATTTTCTAAAACCCAAAAAAATATCTTTAAAGCAAATATATATATAATAAAGACGATGAAGAATGAAACCCGATTATTGAAATAAATTTTTGAAACCCAAACTTTAATGTGTTTTTCTTGCAAAACTTGTTGCCCCCGGAACTTGAAGTGTCTTGTAAATCATTTATTATATAGCTTTTTGTTAACATTATTTTTTATTTCAAAACGATTTTCAGTTTTGTGCTGTGCAATAAGATAAATTTCTTGTTAGCAAAAATGTTACTTTTTTTTTTAAATCATAATAAAAAACAAAGCAATAACAAAATTTGTACACAATTTATATTGTGCAAATGTGGCCATTGCATTTTACTTAACCAAACCATGATTTTTTATTTAAAGAATTCCATTTGGCAATGTTCATTAAGATCGAATTCACACACTGATCTTTGTCACGATTCTGTCCATAATAATCAACAAATTCACCATCAGGGTTTACAAGGTACATAATAATCGTGTGATCCACAATGTAATCGTTGTCCTGATCTCTGGGACCAGCAGAAAAGTATACCCTAAAAGCTTTGCATACTTTACTGATCTGTTCAACAGTGCCAGTTAGGCCCAACAACTTGGGTGAAAACTCCTTTACATATTTGTCCACGACTTCTTTGGTGTCACGTTCCGGATCAACTGTTATAAATATGGGTTGGATTTCAGGATTTTGGGGAGATTTTTCTAGAATTTTGCAACAAAATTAATTCATGACTCATTATCAAAGAATGCTCTGTCTTACCAATTTCATCAACAACAGCCGACATCTTCTCCAATTCATCTGGGCAAATATCAGGACAGTGGGTAAAGCCGAAATAAATCAACAACCATTTACCCAGAAAATCTTCTGATTTACGTAGATTGCCTTTGGGATCAACGAGTTCCCAGCGACCACCAATGGCAGCCTTTCCCAACTGCCTTTTGCGTTCCTTTAAAATTGCCTCTTCTTTTTCATGTTTCACATATAACATAAAGGCAACACCAACAGCTCCTAGACCACCAATAGCGGCGGCACTTTTCCATGTTATGGGTCCCTTGCCTTTTACCGGGTCGCTAGCAACCAAACGACGTTGTTGCCTAACAATGTTTTGCTTGAGCAGGCCATTGGATAATTCACTTTGACTAAATGCTTGTCTCCTGCAGGCTGTAAAAAGTCGTTGCATTTGTCGAGACATGGCTGTGAATATTTACTGTGTATGTTTTATCTTATAAATAAGGAAATTTTACGTAAATGCCTTTGGAAACTGGATAACACCTGAAAACTACCAGCTGAGAAGTTCAAATGAACTGTTTTGTGAAGGGAATGATGGGGACTATATGCAGCACTTTCTTCGTTTAGTTATATTGTTTCAACTAGTTCCTTTAATTCACCTTATTTTTTTCTTTGATGCTAATGCTAAGTTCACATGACAGGCTCTCTATTCCTTGTTCGACCATTAATTAGAAATATCTACTTAAATCCCTACACAAAATTTGCTAAGCGAACAAAGGTTTTTGTTCTTTATTCCACTGAAATCACTCTCAGATGAAATGTGTGCCATCCCTAACAAATGAAAGCATTTATCGAAAAAAATTAATTATGACTTAAAAATTCAAAATAGAAAAATTTAATGAAATTTTGGGAGGACTGAAAATTATAAATGAAAACTACAATGTTGAATTGCGTATGTACATTCAAGCGAAAGTAAATTTAGATTTCTCTCCCATCCGTGGTATGCATTTTGTCCACGAATTGAAATTTCCACAGGAAACTAAAAAAAAGAGGTAAGTACATAAGAAGCTTGAAGTCATGGCTAGGCATATTTTGTGACATTTTACAAAGGGATTACAGAGCCGCACTAAAATCCAGCCGTTGTTTTCCATTATAGTTTGACATTAATATGCCTAGCCATGACTTCAAGCTTCTTATGAACTTAGCCCTTAATATTTTCAAAATGTTTGTATCGGCAGAAAAAATGTTTGACAAATGTCTCTCCAGCAGAATTTAAAAATAGAAAAATATGTTCAAAGTGTCAACTTTTACACAAAATGTTGAAACATGAATGAAAATTGTAAAATTAATAATTTCTTCTATTCATATTAGTGATAATTTCATGTATATTCGTAAAAATTCCCATTAAAATCAACAAACAAAATTTTTGAAGAAAGAATTATTTTACTATGAATTACGAATCGTGCCGTATGAACGGGTTAATTCGTGTACCTACTTCTGAGAGCGAACAACATGATTCAAATTGCAATGAGAACATAGCATTAGCTTGTAGTACCTTGTTAAAATTAACTTACAAACTTTGCAAATATAAATATTTATAATATTTATTTAGTAAAAATTGAAAATGAACACAAAAATATTGTATTTTACAAGGTATTTTATTTATGAAACGAATACACACATTTTTTTATATCACAATGATAAACAGTGAATTGTATTCAGTTGATTTCTATGAATAAACTTGTAAATTATTGTAGCATGGGAGTATTTCCCCATATCGCCCTTAAATGTAGACGTAAACAGTTCATGTCATTTTAGCGACAGAACGCTTTTCGCTTAATTTGCACTGTGACACGAACGCTCTTTTGACGTCTCTCATTTTAGTGCATGGAATTTGCAAAATATTTTTAGTGGAATAAACGGGATATATAATAGTTAAAGATGGTAAATAGCATGACCAATTATTACCATACATTTCTTTAAAAAGTGAACTGTTCCACGACGATCGAAAATATGCAGTTTCCGCTATTAAAGTGACATTCCAAATGTTTGGGAAATTTGTGTACAACATAACCTAGAAACTAGGCGTTAAAGATTTGTTATTAACCCAACGAAAAGTTGTGTGCAATTTCAGAAACTAACATGTGTCAATTATTCTTTTACAGAGACCTTTAATGCTCCAGGGCCATGAGCGTTCCATTACGCAAATCAAATACAACCGTGAAGGAGATTTATTGTTCTCTTGTTCCAAAGATCAAAAGCCCAATGTTTGGTACTCAAACAACGGCGAACGTCTAGGAACCTATGATGGCCATCAAGGTGCCATTTGGTGCCTTGATGTTGACTGGACAACTTCTAAACTCATTACTGGCTCTGGTGATATGACAACTAAAATTTGGGACGTTGAGCATGGTCTGGTGATTGCTTCGATACCGGCCAAGTCATCTGTGCGTACTTGCAACTTTTCCTACTCGGGCAATCAGGCTGCATATACCACAGACAAGGCTATGGGTCAAAACTCTGAACTTTTTATTATTGATGTTCGTACAGCTGATTCCAGTTTGGCTGAACAAAATCCTATTTTGCGCATACCCATGTTGCAGTCAAAGATTACCTCAATGTTGTGGGGATCCTTGGATGAAACAATCATTACCGGTACGTATAATTTGAAATGACACAATCTGCATAATTCTAATTAAAAATTATATTTTTTTTATTACAGGTCACGACAATGGTCAAATTTCGATTTGGGATATTAGAAAAGGACGTGAAGTCAATTCGGTCAATGACCACACAGGCAGTATCAACGACATGCAAATGTACAAGGATGGTACCATGTTTGTGACAGCTTCCAAGGATACAACCGCCAAATTATTCGACTCGGAATCTTTGATGTGTTTGAAGACCTACAAGACTGAGAGACCCGTCAACTCTGCTTCTATCAGTCCCATTATGGATCACGTTGTTTTGGGTGGTGGTCAAGATGCCATGGAAGTAACAACAACATCAACAAAAGCTGGCAAATTCGATTCCCGTTTCTTCCATTTAATCTACGAAGAAGAATTCGCCCGTCTTAAGGGTCATTTTGGTCCCATCAACAGTTTGGCCTTCCATCCTGATGGTAGAAGTTATGCTTCCGGCGGTGAAGATGGTTTTGTGCGTGTTAATACATTCGATAGTACCTACTACGAACCACTATTTTAGAAACAAATATTTTCTACGTGTATTTTTTTAATTTCCATAATCAGTCGTTCAAACCACCCAACTAAAAAAAAACAAAAACTAAAGAATAATTTATATATTCCTTCTATAAATAAATGAGAGTAGCCTGCCTACAATTGGAAGATTTGTTTGTGTTTAATGTGTCAAACATGTATGAAAATAAAATTAATAAACAAATCTATTCAAGGACACGGAGAAAGGCCAAACCAAGAAATCTGGATGTTTTTTTCGTGAGTAATGGGAAGGTTACTGTAAAACATATTGGAAAAAGTAAGAAAATTGCACTATCGCAGCCTCAAAACTCTTATAGTCATGGGAACTGCGATCTGTAGTGAGATCAGCATTTATTTATTTTACGGAAAAACAAATACGTTGCAAATCCCACATATATGGGAATGTCTATATAAAATGTCCAATATTTTATAATACTAGACACAGTTCCAAGGCCTTTAATAACATTTTATTCAACATTTAATCAATTGTTTGAGGTATATGGATAATATATAAGAGGTAACTACATAATATACTGAAATTGAAACATAAATACATTGAACGATAATTTTAAAAGAAAGAATTTTTCTTTTTCTTAATCATAACTGGTTGTCCAGACATTGCAGCCAATTGGGCTGGTGTGGGTGCACAGCCTGGTGGTGGTGGGGGAACTGTTATGGCTCCATTTGCAGTTGTTCTTAATTCAGCACGCTTGTGAAATTCTAAAACGTTATGACTTGGGGACATGTGGCTCACATTTGCAGTGGCTCCTGTGTTATAATAATTTTGATGTTGTTGAATATGAGCTGGATACGGATTAACGTAGCCATATGAAGAACTTGGCCCAGCAGAGGGTGCATACGTCATGGTTTGTTGAGTTGGAAATTGATAGGGTTGTTGAGTTGGTTGTTGATAACATTGGGATTGGACATACGTTGATGGTGCTGTCGACATTCTGAGTGCCTCTTCATATGAGGGGGGAGGTGGGCCTCTCTGGAAAGAAATAACACAAGTGTAAGTAGAACAAAATGTAAAAAAAGAAACAACGCACTTACTTGGAAATTGTCATTGACAAACCCAGTCTCGGTTGGTCCTGTTGGATATATGTTTCCTGATTTTCCTAAAGTTGAAAACTCTATTATTATTTTTTTAATAAATTTTAGAAAGAAAAGCTTACCGTCTGATTTCGACATTTCGTCGCTCTGAATTGAAAATACTGAGTGCCTTGCTTTCTTTTGTTGACAATAAAGAGAAACACAAGGCGACTATGAATGGAAAGTGATGTCATTGCCCACTTTATATATTTATATCGAAAAATCACGAACATTTATAACAACAAATCTTACTTTAAAAATGTTAAGTGTTTATTCATATTTTTCCTAGTTATTAATATTATTATTTATTTAATTCTGAAAAAGTTATAGCGTATAAAAATACAGAGTAGCTATTTTGTTATTTTAAGTCTCCTTAATTCTCTCATTGATGATTAATACAATCAACAACAAAAATAGTCATCTGCTCTGCGATTTTGAGGGCTAATGTGGAATTTCATGCTAAGGATTCCATAGAAATGGAGAAAAATCTGAATTCAGTTCTTATCAGGGAATTGATTTTTCAATAACAATCATCTGATATTTTTTCTAAAAAAATCAAAAGAAAGCGGTTACTTCTATTAAAACTTCCATGAATTAATAAATTTTTCTCATTGAGTGAAATTCTCTTAGAAAAAATCATAGAATGGAGAATTGCAAAAATTGTATTTCTGTACATGGACCACTCTATTTCTCTTAACTTTAGTTGTTCAAAAAGTAGTATTTATCTGCGATAAAAATCCAAACCTACATAAAAACGCTTAAAACAAAGCAATTAAATTTAAAATTTTTATTTCCTAGGAGTACAATTTAAACAATTTTATAGCCATACATTTGGTGTAAACATAAAATATTTATATATCTACGCTGCTTCAATTTCTTCCAGAAATTTGCGACATTTCTTTTTCAATACTTTTACAGCTTCAACGAATATGACATCGGGTTTGAGTGCACCAACCGATTCGACATTAAAAATATAATGATCACGCACCCTTGACATTTCAACCGAATCGGCCAATTGTGGATAACGGTAGACATTACGGCTGCACGTATCATAACGGGCATCTTTAACATAGGCCACATCGTTCTCATCTATGCCAATGACTCCAGGTGAAAAACATTTTTGCAGGAGTTGGGCATCTTTGCCCTTGACTTCACGTGTCAATCTTATCTCGGGCAACAGTCTATAAAATGCCGTTGCCACTGGAGAAAATTTGGCATGATCTTTGCCAATACCTTTAACGGCAACCATTTTCAAATCAAACTCATGGCCGGGACGCATTTGTGATATTAGAATATCATCATGTATGCAACCAACATCGGACTCGGAGTACAACTGGGCCTGTTTGCCGCGTGGCAACCATTTAATTTGTCCCGAATGTACTTTATGATTTTTATAGATTGTATCGAAATTTGAAGAATCTTTAACATCTTTGCGTCGCGTACATTTCACCTTTAATTCAAACTCCAGTGTGTCATGCTCGGTGCCCTGTTCATTTTCTTCGCTACGATATTCAAACAAACGAGGATCTGCCTTCAATGGTATCAGGCCAAGACGATGGGCCAACACTTCATCTTGTATAATAGATGTGTTGTTGTAAATATAGATTTTCTCAAAGGCCATGCTAGGAACTTCACTAAGCATTAATCGGCGAAAAGCATTGGCAAAAGCTGGATGCACGCCAATTAAGTCAAACTCTAGTTCATCACCTTCATATCTAGAAAGTAAGGAGTATTTATATGTTTCCAATGCTTCAAGAATCTACAGTATTTCCCTGCCCACCTGACAATCACAATTCTCATTTTTGCCTTGTATGTTTCAATATCAATTGGCTCATCTGCCAGGCCATAATCGTGAGGATCCTGTTTGAGTTTATACTCGTCCATATACAATCGGGGTTTTTCTTCCAATGCCGGCATTTTTATTTTCGTCCTTTTATTCAAACTAACAAAAATTCTATGTTTAAAATGCTACAGCTACACGTGCTAAAAATGTAAACATTAAAATTAGGGATAGGTAAGTCGACTTACGATTAATGGCATAATCGACTTAGAGTACTGAAACTCGACTATTGACTTGGGTAAAAGACGAGTACTCGACTATAACAACGTGATTGAAATTGCAATGAGAACATAGCATAAGTCGAAAAAACGACTATGAATAGTCGAGTACTCGGCTCAAATACTCAAAGTCGATTATTCAATTAATCGGAAGTCGATTTACCTATCCCTAATAGCGGGACTTTTACATTCGCAATTTTAACATGAGAGAAAAATAAGAAAATTGTTATCCTTGTAAATAGCTTTATTTTCAATGCAAAATGGCAAAACGTTTCCAGCCCATGAAGGAATTTGGCCGCAATATGAAAAAGCCAAAACTGGATATTAGCATAAATCGCGGTTCAACACATAATGCGGCTTCTACGTCGAAGACAAGCTCCTCCAACAATGATCAAAATAATTTTTGGGACGACGACGATGATGATGTGATACTCCTTGCCACCCAGGTGGCTGAGGCAGCAGCTGTGGCCAAATCATGCTCGAATAACAATGCTCTCATATCTGAAACGGAAATAACATTCACCGAGTTTGCGAGCGCTGCCACAACAAGTACACAAATGCCGGCAGCAACATACGATATACCAGGACCGGATATACTGTCGCAAATGTTTGATGATGAGGACGATGATCTAATGGCAGTGGTAGAGAAGCAAGATCCGGCACCTTTTAAAAAGCCTCTGACTCCTCCACCGCCTTCAAAGTCCGCTGCTTCCTCGTCTGCATTAACGAAATCTAGGCAATCAGAAAAGCAACCATCGCAAAAGCCAACAAACGAGTCAGAGGATATATTCGAAATTAGACTAACCCAAGGCAACAGTCTGCAGGACACTAGTTGCGCATCCGTCCAAAGTTCAGCTCGCAGACAACTGGCCTCAGAGAGGCAAATAAAGTTCCTAATGGAAAAAGTTGATGCTTTAAAGAAAGAAAACGTTAAAATCAGTAACGAACTCTCGGAATCTAAATCCAAAATAGAGTCCAAGGAAGGTGAAGTGTCATTGCTGCGCGATGAACTACGACACCTAAAACAGCAGGCCAACAATTTAAAAATGGAAAAGATTTTCAGTACCGAGGCTGTGAAGGGAGAGTGCCAACTGAAAATTGCCGAACTGGCCAAAAAGGTAGAGGCGCAACAGGCCGAGATAAGACTGAAGGAGGCCCAAACATCACGTATGAAAATGAAACAGGCCGATGAGACACAAAAACTGCAGCAGAGTATGGTTTTGGTGAATAGAACCGAGGTTGCTTCCGGCAGCAAACAAGACAAGAAATTAAAAAAATGTCTCATGAAAATGCAATCATTGGATCTGAATATAACGCCCGATACAAATGACGAAAATATTGAATTGTATCCTCCGGTGTTTGACTCCTCCTTGGATAAGGGAGGAACTGTTAAACGCAAGACTTTGTTCGAACGAGAATTGGAAAATATTCAGACTCTTTTGGCCCAACTGCAGCTAATGGCTGTTCACGAGGTTCCCAATGACTTTATTGACAGATGTATAGAATCTGTGTGCAAGGTCTTCCCAGAATTCTGGTCATACACACAAACTTTGTATTTTTTGAAATACTGCGAGGTACATCCTTACCACAATTACTCGTTAAGTGATTCGAAGATATATTCAAAGCGATTGCTGCAACAACCCAGTGAAATATATGAACGTGAGAGATGTCTTTGCTTTCGAAGATATATTGCCATATTGGCCATAATGTGTCAACGTGAGGCCTCCCTGGCCCTGGCATTGCTGCGTTATAAACATGGCGAATATTATCTGTTACAAATTGCAACGGATTCCATTGTGACATTGGGTTTCGCCTGTGGCATTTGTGAGCATTTTGGAGTATTGGAAGCCTTTTCGGTTTGGCTTAAAAGTATGTTGCATCACATGTCGCAGGATGTGGAAAACTCTTGTGTGGAAATGCTAGTGGATCTCATGAAGCATATAGTCTTTACCAGACCATGCGCCTGGATATTTCGCGAAATATCCATATGCTTGTTTGAAAGTTGTAAATTGCCACAAATTCTCGATATGCTGTGCGTTAATAGTCCGGAAAGAACTTTTGTGGCAGATCGTGTCAAATCCACATATCGCTTTTCCAACGATTCGTGTTTCATGCAGGTAATGAAAAGATATATTTTTGATTTCAAATAAGAATTAAATTTCAACTATTTTCAGGTTTATTGTGGTCTTCTGGAAATTGCCTTTCCCCTAAGTGCCGGCCTGCATTTGGAACACTTTAGGCTGTTGGTTGATATCTGCTGGAATCATATACGTTTTGCCTATCATTGTTTTATACAACCGCCCAAGTTTATACACAAAATGTTACCAATTTATGACGATGAAGATGACGACGAAATGGATTGCCAATCGGCTGGTGATGAAACGACCTCAAGTCGAACGTATGCTGGTGCATTTGAGACAACTGAACAAAATTCTACAACTAGATCGGTAACTAGCACTTCTTCGACTGTAAAAGCAACAACATCGGTGGCCGTCGATAGTACAAACATCAATAACATAATATCCACAACCCAATGTGAATGTTATATAAAATTGTGCCTCAGCGTGGTAACGTTGGTCTTTCAACTGATGCGACAATGGATTTTTCACAAAATGGAATATTGTAAGTAGAGGTTTTTTTAAAATTTGAAAAATCAAAAATTTCATATGCAACGAAAAGTGTGCCAAAGCTTTGTTGTATTTCGATAAAACTCAGATCAAGATTGAAGTTGCCTACGGTAGGTTTTGACACTGCAATGAAGGCCGGTTTGGATTCTACTATAAGCCTCGAAAATATATCAGAACTGGAACTTGTTTCCTCGCCATCTTCTCTTCAGAAAATGGCTTATGGGACCATCTTCTCTACAGTGGATGACATCTGGGACCATCTACTCCACAGTAGATGGCATCTGGCGCCATCTACACCACAGTAGATGGCATCTGGCGCCATCTATTCCACAGTTGATGACATCTGGGGCCATCTACTCCACAGTAGATGGAATCTGAGGCCATCTACTCCACAGTAGATGGCATCTGAGGCCATCTATTCCACAGTAGATGGCATCTGAGGCCATCTACTCCAATGTAGATGTAGATCTACTCCACAATACATGGCATCTGAGGCCATCTACTCCACAATACATGGCATCTGAGGCCATCTACCCCACAGTAGATAGCATCTGAGGCCATCTTCTCTTCAGCAGATGACATCTGCGACCACCCACTCCTTAGTAGATGGCATCGGGGCTCATGTACTCCACAGTAGATGACATCTGGGATCATCTACTCCACAGTAGATGATAACTGGACCCATCTACTCTATAGCTGAAAGCATCTGTGCCCATTTATGATGCAATAGGTGACATCTGAGACGGTCTAGTCTACAGTATATCTGCTTTGGGTCCATCTGCTTTGCAGTAGAACAACTTATTTTGATAACCAAGAGCAATTCATAAAACGAAGAGCGAACAAAAATAGAAGAAGACATGAAGATTGTTAAGAATGATAAACCTGGCATAACTCTTAAATTGATTTATTTTCTATCAACTAACCTCCCTCCCTATTGTTACAGGTACTGACGAAGTAACTGAAATTTCCCGCTTGTCTGTGCAGCTTTTACACATGGTATTCTGTGACTACTATTTGACATGTTTATTTCGTGACTCGGAGGCAACAACGAAATACTATCTCAGTTTGATTTTAAAATGGTGGTCGGAATATGCCAAAAAATTGAATTTTAATGAAATTGATTGTAAGTTACCAAACTACATGGATTATATAAAACTAGCTCAAAACCTCTTTCTTTCAGTAAAATTTTTACAAAAAATACAAAATTCCCATGTTATACCCAAAGACATTGCGGATGAGACAAACCTACACACAGTGGTTGCCGACTTAAACGAATGGCAAAGCCTAACCAAAGATAATGGCCAAGACATACTTTTAAATAGTTTAGATGAAGCAGCCAAAATTGCAAATCGTTTGGGACTAATTGAAACAGCATCGGATGAGGAGAAGTTCTTTGAAGTTTTCAAGGGATATGCATTTAATTTCCAGTGACACACACAAACACACAAAACCCATTAGTATTGTTATTTGTTAAAAACAGAAATTATAAATTGTTATGAGAACAAATTATGTAAATACATTTCATTTTAGGAATTATAGTACAACTTAGTTGTAAATTTAGATTACTTTCTTATACAAAAAAAAAGGAAAAAAAAAGATAGTTAATAAAAAAACACAATTGGATTATTGAATATTGTTTATTTCGATGATTATGTTGTTGTAAAGTTGACAAATATGCTATTATTTTATATCAAAAGTATAAAATATCTGATTATATTATTAATATAAACCTTTTTTGGTTGATAATAATTGATAATTGTTCCAGTACAAAAAATATGAGTTGCATATTTCGTAACATGAATGATTTTATGATGGATGACTAAAGCTAGTGTCATTTTTTTTCGGTATGTCAAATGTATGTTTCCAATTCAGTATGTTCAATATGTGTGTATTGTCTTGTAAGTGCTGTGACATTTTTTATGTGCTTAATGATTTTTATTCTTTACATGAATTAATGAATAATTTTTTAGGTTATTCTATGGCACTTTTTCGAATAGAGTATCCAATGAAAGCGGTGCGATTTTAAACTTTAGTTTAAAATATATTTTTTTGAAGGATTCTGTCATCGGAACATGGATCCGGAGAATTTTTCATAGTAAGATTTTGAACTTTAAATTTTTTTAATTTATCTTTGTTTTTGGTTTGGCATTATTTTAGCTTTTCCCAATTTACAATCACTTCAGAGCATTTAGTGCGTCTGGCCACTGAAGCAACATGTCTAACGTTAATTCTATCTTGGAATACAATAACACCCTATAGACAGAGAATTTTCACAGTTCACCCGAATTTTTATATTCAGGTTCGAAGGAAGATGAAACTAGGTAGCCCGTTTCAGTTCCGATCATCTTCCTTGCTCATCGAATACATTAAATAAAAAGTAGAGAACTGATAATGTTTGTCAATGAGGGTAAGTGAAGAAAGTGTGACTACGGGAAGCTGGAATATGGCACGAATACGCTGGATCATGCTCGAATCCTGAACATATTAATAAGTCAGAACATCCTAGGTGAAGGTAATAAATACACTTAGCGATTACATGTCCACCCTTTTCGACTATTGCTACATTGACGTTACGATAATGACTGGCCACTGCAATATTAGATATCTAGCCTCAAGATCAACAAGAGACATAGGATAGGATATTTGAGAGGTGGGAGATAGGAACTCTAGTGGTAGAGATATACTCAAATCTGATCTTGGCAGAGGTATTTTTGGGCTGTAAATGATATCTGGTACCAAACATCATTGTTGTCGAATGCATATTACGAATGTGAGGTACTTAAACACCAAATCGCATAAAACCTATATATGGGAGATATAGCTATATCTGAACCGATATTCACCAAATTTGGTGTACTTGCTTCTAGACGGGATTCGGTTGGATGTACCAAAATTCAGAACTTTTGGACTGATATTGGCCAGTTGGAGCCCAATTATCCCGAAATCGGTTGAAGATACAAAGGGGAGCTATATCCAAATCTGAATCGATCTTGATACAATTTGTCAGAGGTATTTCTGGGCTGCATCTAATATCTGGCACCAAATATCATTGCTGTCGCATGCATATTACGAATGTGAGAGACTTAAACACCAAATCGGACGAAACATATATATGGCAGCTATAGCTATATCTGAACCGATTTTCTCCGAATTTGATGTACTTGCTTCTGGACTGAATTCGGTTGTATGTGGCAAAATTCAAGACTTTTGAACTTATATTGGTCATTGGTGCACAATTAACCCGAATTCGGTTGATCTAATATATATGGAGCTATATCTAAATTAAATCCGATTCTCTCCAATTTTAGTAGGGTTTGTCCTTGGGCCAAACAAATATTGTTAGGAATATTTCATCATCGGATAATAAATGCGACCTTCATTTTGTTCACAAGAATACATGGACAGACGGACGGGCGGATTTACATGCATAAATCGACTGAGAAAGTGATTCTATGAAGATCCTCAAAAGTAACTATGGGTTTATCTCACTTCCTTCTCCATGTTATAAACAAATGCACAAAGACATAATACCACCTACTACTATGTGGTGTAGGGTATATACTACAAATTTATTCCGATCGAAATTTGTTCACAATGAAAAGCCTACCTCTAGGTATAGGAATCTCAGGCATTACTCATAGGTGTTCAGCTTTGTTCCAAAAACCTGAGGGAGAAAACATTTTAAATATTAAAAAAAAAAGATTTTTCATTCCACATTTTCATAGAGAAAAAATTCAAACCCAGAATGGCAGTCTGACAGAGCAGTACTGGTGGCGCCCTCTTGATGGCGGTTAGAACTTTACGATCGTCGAAAATTCTCTTTGAGGTTGTCACTTGAACTAATCATCAAAAGTATTATTATTTCCAATGACAGACGTGTAGTTTTCCAATTAAAGTTCAGCCTTCGTTCAAAAATCCAATTTAGATGGTTTTGTTCAAATCGTACGAATTAAATGATGTATTGTGTATGTATGTTTGTATCTTGTAACTAATTTTTGGTTATTTATTTGGTTTTCGAAATAGGGTTTTGATATTTTCTTTAAAGTGAAAGTTGTAATACAAAAAAATGTAAATAGCAAATTAAATTCCATTAAAATGCCCAAATATTAATTGTGTATTGAATAATGTGTATCAAAAACTATGCTAATATGAATGATATTGATGTGTAAAAAAATATCTTCTTACTTATATAAATGTATATGGTTTATGGCCATAAATTACTTAAAATAATCCGAAACACTGATAGCAATACAAGAAAAAATGAAATAAATTAGAAAAAAATACGGTATTCGAGAAATCCATTTATGAGCACAGACATGTAAGTGGGATGAGGAAAAAGAAGAAGAAGAACAAGAAATTGTGTTATGATATAAGCTATATATATAGAGGTGTATGTATAGCTACTTGGGGGGTAAAAAGCATGTGTAAATAGACATCAATAAATATATCTAAAAAATAATACTTTGAAGTTAATTATAAGAAAGAATAAACGAAAAATTCGATAATTCAAAAGAGCATGGTACTTGGGAAATTACCATTTCAAGGGAGTTCCACGATTGCTGGCTGCATTTGCCCTGAAATTTATCAACAAATTAAAATTTATTCCAATTTTTTTATTTGCAAAAACTCACTTAACAACACCCTGCGCCTGCGTGGGTGTCAATGTAATCAACGGTGTCAAGCGCTCCACAAAACGTTCATTATTACGCTCCAATTCTCGCTGATAATCTTTTTGATCGGATAAAATCAGATTACGATTTTTCTTGAGAGCATCGGCACATCGTTTGGAGAATTCCCGGAAACAAAGACGTAATTTGTTTTGATGTTTGGTGGGTATGGTAACACCATCGGAGAGATTCGAAAGAAACACTGCAGCCATTTCCATGGGTCCCTGATTTACTGTCGTTCCTATGCAACCCTGTAAGACCATTTGTAATATTTTCGGATCAGCCGGTTCTTGATTAGTGGCAGCAGCCAATTCCACAGTTTTCTTTTGTATATCCTCAATGGCCACTTCAATGGGTTCCAACACAATTTGTTGCCGATTGATAACCTGTATGCGTGTCTTGACATAGGGGAAATGATTGGCTGTTGTCAGGATGGTCTTCCGTTTGCACTGTTCATGTAGCTCACCATGAGCCTTGCCGTTTTTGGTGAAAGGTGTGGCAAAAATAAAACGTTCTGGAAAATAAAACAAACAGGGTTACAAATAAATCGAAAATTTTCCCACTCCTCCTTCATACTTATATTGAAATTCCTATCAAAGTAGGTTTCCCGGTGCCTCAATTCATAATTTTCAAAATAGGGTTCCACATAGGTGATTTGTATGTAGGCCTTCTCCGGATCCAGGCTATTCACATCCACAATATTTGAGTCTTTAATTATGTGCACAGAATCGGGACCGAAACGTTCGGCATAGAAATTCTAAAATAAATAAAAACATTGAAAACAGTTCTATAAATTTCCAGTATATAACTCACCTGTAGACGACTGAATATTTCCGGCAACTTGGTTAGGGTTGGTTCCTTGTATATAAATTCTTGTTGATCCAAATCACCAAACTTGGCTCCATAGAAACCCACACGGAAATAGGTGCCAAACACCCGTTTCCCCTGCAACTGGGCAATACGATTGTAGGCCAGCTGTAATATGCCATGGATTTTACTTAACTTCTGAAAATCTCGATTTGCCTCACAAATGGGTATGAGGATTTTGTAGACCTCATTCATGGCCTCATACATGCCGGAGCTATAAACAGAAATAGCAATTATATATTTCAAACCAAATGCCATATTCTAAGACTTACATTTGAAAAGAATTGGCCGCCTCTTCGAGGAGAACTTTTAGCCCCGACTCCGTAAAATGATTACCCAAACAAATACCATCCTCGCCGGGACTGAGGACATCATCTGAGACGGCAGACTCGAGCAGGGAGTTTGGTGTAACCTTTTGGAAACTTACCGCACCCACCGGCAAATGGGTCTGCGACTCCAACATGCTGAGATATTCTGCCACCAATGCAGCCGAATGTACAAAACACATGGCTGCCTCGGTATGATTTGCACGCTCACGATGCTTTTTGGCCATATTTTCCAGCCAGGTTAAACGTAAATCGGGATTATTTTGATAACCCTTGGCAATGCGATGCATAAGGTCCAATAACATTTCCGGATCTTCTTGATATTCTTTCATTTTCACAGTGTCCGAAAGGATCATGTGTAGATTGAACAACAAGTCCTGTACTTGTTCTGGGAATGAGGTTTCCTGTAAATCAGTATCGGATTCAGCGTAGACCAATATGGTTTTCAAGGCTCGTCTCAGGGATTGTTCGCTAAATGATGAACTCGTACCAACCAGGGAGGACAAAGACATGGTCACCTGCATTTTGACACGGGCAAAGTTCTACAAAAAGGGGCATGATGTTTATACAAATTTTCTTTTTTAAAAATCTCCAAATATACTTACATTGCCAATTTCGAAATTCTGTCTCATCAAGAGGTACAAAGAGGCGGCTGCCTGGGACCTTATGCCCGGTAGATTTGAACCACAGTGCTTAAGCAATAGCAGACAAAGGTCAGCACAGATATCAGTCTCCTCATCAAACAATAGATTGGGAAATTTGAAAATCAAAGACCTCTGCGAGGAGAAGAGATTTTTCAATGCCAAAGTACTTTGATTGCGTGACAGGGCATGCAGCAACACTTTCAACACTGTGCCCAACAAATTGTGATGCATTTCCGAATGTGTGGCCACTTGTACGATAATCTCCAGACAATCCAAAATAACCAATGTAATTTCGGTGGCCAAAGAACCCTCAATAAATTGACTTAATTCCATTTCCGGATCAGCTTTGACGGCGGTATCATAAAACTGTGTCCTATATGGCATTTGATCCTTTTTCCAACGGAATTTTTCGGTGGAGTTGCGATCTTTACGACGTTGTATCAAATCATAACGCGCAGAATTTGTGCCGCGTATACATTCCTCCAATTTATCCTTTAAATCTGTGGTCTTGCGAAAACTTTGGGTATTCCGTTTGAGGACAGGCAAACGTTTTTGTCCCTTATATTCGAAACAGGGCAAACAAGCATTCAAGACCTGCAACATCTGATGGACACGATGCGGAGACAGGCCTAAGGTCCATCGATACAATGTGGTCTTCTCCAAGTTCTTTAAAACCCACACAAAACAAACGAGCAGATGGCGAGTATTTTCACTGCTCAAAGGTGATTTATTTTTCACCTGATCGGTAAAGGCATATGAACGGGAGCCTGAAATTGCATATGCCACCTCAGGACTTATGGTCGTGGTGGAAATCATGGTATTCGGTCCCTGATAGTCTTCCAGGAGGCCCATATTGTGTAGACGATCATTGGAATCGGTCAAATATTGATGTAACTGGGGTATGGCATCCATTATAATACCCAAAAGAGGTAGATACAAAGCTGCCACACGGGCTCTGGCTTCGGCATCTGTATAACGGGGATCCAAATCGTGGGAAGTCATTAAGTTTTTAATGCAACGTATGGCCTTGCCGTGAAGTTGAGGATTCCTAAACGAAGATACCAATCAATAAATAAAAATACAAATCTCAAAACTCGCATCACTTACGGTACTTCCAAAACCGTGGCCAAATCGCTCAAAACCAAGCCAACCAAAAAGTGTTGCTGCCTGAAATCAATGCTTAGATCCGCATGCAAGGCAGCCCTCTCTATGGAACCCTAAAAGAGATTCAACAAAATCATAGTTAGATCTTTCAAAACTAATATTCGAGACCCTAGAAACACTTACATATGAGGTTCCACTGTTATTTGAGGTTGTGCTGGGTGTGGGGCTACAGGGCGCCGATTTCGTTGTGTAGGGAGTACCAAAGGGCAAATTCAATGCCACATAATGCTCATGACTACAAACAATGCGCAAGAAATCAATTTTATAATTCATCAAATCCGGTATGGAGGCATTTTTCGAAATCAACACCTTGTAATAGGTCTTGATTAGGCCGAAGACAAAACCACGATCCATGACACTAAACAGATCGAATATAAAGAAACTCAAACTGGCATTCAAACTCTGGGCCAGCTTTGGTTCATTGCTGTGATAACCCACAACCTTGGTGGTCACCAAATGGACCAGAGTGGAAATATCATCGGTATATTGATGGGGAAAACGCTGCTTGCGTGGGGAGTGAAGTGTCAATGTCACCGCCAAATGTTCAATCATGGATTTGCAAATTAACTCAAACAAAAACCATGAATTACTCATGGCCAGATCGGCGGCCCGGCCACTTGCCACAACCCAGTGCAGGGCTAACTCCTCGTGCAACAACCTCACTTGGCCATCTCTGCCGGCCACAAATGTTGGTGACATTTCCATTGCCAATTCTTTGCGATCCAGACTCCGGCCAGCCACCACATTGTCATAGATGCTATAGGTATCCGACGAGGAACTAGACGAATGCATTTCCTCGGCATTGCTACGGCTACAGGTTATACGTCTTTTACCACTAAACGGATGTGGTATCTTACTTTGGAACTGAACATAAGTCGAAAGCAGGGACTGACGTCCATGTTGATCAATCACCAAATCATCGTTGAGTATGGACAAGTTGGCCGAAACCAAACACAGAACTTCAAACACTGTCGAACCCAAGGACAATGTTTGGCCACCGATTTTATAAGTGGTAACCAATAGTTCGATTAACTTATCCAAAACTAAATGCAAATTCTTAACCAACGGCTCCCGTTCGGCATTTGCAATTTCCAAAAGGCATTTCTTCATTTCACTTTCCATGTTGCCCTCACCAATTCGTGGAGGTATTTTGCGCGAATCCAAGTACTCACACATCAAAAAGAAACGATCCAAATTGGGGTCTAGGGTATGCAGCGATGTCACAGCCTCCACAGATATGGTGAAAACGGGGCGATGATTGTCCAACCATTTGGTACCCGGCAAATGGACATTGGGCGGTATAAAGGAGTAATTTTCCGGTGGTGGTTCTACCATAACGGGTAATTGGAATTCTCCCACCTTCAACTTGCCATCTTCCATCAAAGGCAACCAAGTATAGCCCACAGGAGTTTCCACAGATGGCTGGACATCTTGAGGCTTTTTCTGACACGAAACATGATAGATGGTGAAAAGCAAATGGTGATTTTGTTTCAAATGGGCCGGTAAGGCGATCTTTATCTCATCATAAAATCCCGGACACTTATTGTGATAGTTCACTGCCGTAAATGCCTCATTGGAATATTCAGGACACGAAGATTTGCCAAATATTGCACAGAGAGAATCATTTTGTGTTTCGCCTGCCATCAATTGGACACGTACCGCTATGTTACGGGCTGATCCTGCTCTTGAGGAGAAATTCAGTTCCTTGGGTGAAACAAACAAGAGATTACGATAGGTATAATGTGGATTATAAATTGGCATGGTAGGAAACTCCAAAATCTCTTTTATGGGCCTTGTTTTATCCGGTGGATAGGGATCGAGTTTGGCCAGTTCTGGTGTCAGCGCGTTTTTGACATCATCAGGGCAAGGTGAAATTTCCAGTTTTATAGAACCTGGAATACATTTGTATTTCTTCATTGCCGAACTGGGCCTTTTGAGTTCCATTAGAAATTTATATAAATCTTCATCTTTCATTTTATCAGCCTCTTGTTTGAAAAAGCTGGATATTGTTAGGGTCACCGGTCTAAAGGACTCCACAACATTGGCAAAATCATCCGGAGACCATGATCTACGTTTCTCTTTACGCTCTAGCGATCCTCGCCGCGTTAGGGTACCACTCATGTCGTTGGCTTTGCGTCGCAATTGATCAAAACTGCTGGTCGATGATTTGCGATCTAAACTATTCGAACTGGCGGCTGAACCCAAGGATCCTCCTGACTCCCTTTCCTGGCCATCTTTACCGTCTTTGCCCTCAAAAGTATCACCATGGAATATATTAGTCAAATATATGCCTGTCCAAGCAAAGGGCATGCGATACTTTCCCAATCTCTCACAGTAATCGGAGGCATTGATTTTGGCCTTTTCACGACACTTATCTTTGTCATCCTTAATATAAGGTTCCACAGAGTCTTTAATGTCACCCTGTAAAACCTTCTCCAGACGTATGACCAAAAACAAATCATTGCTGGGATAGCTTATATCAAAGATGGCCGATCTACTTTGGGTACTTTCATCGGCCGTGCGTACATGGGTGTTCAGCATTCTTCGTAACGTATCGGAATTCATGTCGAAGTAAAAGTTCTCGGAGACTTTTTTCTTTTCCTTGGCATCATAAATTGCCATGGAGGCGAAGATAGGCTCCACTTCCAATTCTAAGCGCAGTTGGAGACATTTAACAAAAATTCGATGGCCCATATGTTCCATGGGAAATTCGGCAGCCAATCTACGTTCTATGACATCTTCGGGGTCTGCTTCGGGATATAAGGAGAATAGAGCTTCCTGTCTATCTACCAATCGTTTCATTTCATTCGTTTGATCAACATGTTCGGGTGGAACATCATCGAGTAAATTCGGTATCAGAGGATCATTTACTGATCGTCTCAAATCAAAACTTGCCCAAGAGCCTCGTGGTGTGAGTGTATCAGTACAAGAGCTAACTGATGATAAGCTGGCTATAGATTGTCTAGAGCTGGGTGTGCAGCTAGTACTCTGGTCAGTCAAAGAGGATTCATCGAATGAGGCAAATTCTTTATCGATTTCAAATTCTTGCTGATAGGCGGAGGGACTAATGGTGCCGCGATCAATGCGCTCACGGGCACAACAAGAACTGGAGTAATGACGCTGGGAATATTCCACCACTTTCCAGGGACGGGTATAGCAATTGACACACTCCTGGATGTGTTGCGGTAATTCAGCTCTAAAATTGAAATATTTTTCATAGGGAAAAGAGCACTCACATGTTCTATTAATAACACTTACATATTTTCTTTTGGCACTACATGATCAATGGTTCGTATTTTACGTGGTATGGTCTTGACCATAACATCACCCGGAGGAAAATCCAAAATATTCTTCAAAGGATCCCGATTGATGGTGTTCATGTGGGAATTAAGAAATTCCTCATAATCCAACGGTTCCACGGGCTCGGTCAATGAAAGCTAAAGAAAGGAAGCCAAACAAAATGGTGACACACCTAAATATCAAGGAATACATGAATATCTTCCTAAGCAGGAACTTACCGTGGAAGAGCACATAATGGAATCCGTAGTCTTGGTTTGCATATGACAACTGACCACATTTTTGCGAACATCGGATGCATGGGTCCTGTAAATAAAAGAGCATTTTGGATTAATAATTAAATTTTCTGTCTCGACGACCTCGCCCTTTTTTCATGACTTGGTTTTGCTATTTATGGAATCGTCCATACCTAGACAGTTTCTGGGCAAATGAACGTTGACTTCCAGACATGTTGTTATTGTTGTAGATTTTCGTACAAAATGCAATTTTAATTCGTTAATCAAAACATATTTTTCTCGGGAAAAAATCTGTTTGTTTATTATTTTCGGTCTTTCCTCCTGTCTGTATGTATTTGATTTGACAACTAGAGATGATGAACACACGATATTCAATGTTTACAAATGCTTGATTTGTGTTTGTTAGCCGAAATCGGTGTGCTCGCATTCAGTTATCGAAAATTGATGGAAATCATATGGTGAAGTTAAGCACAAGGGCGACATCTTGAAGTCATGGAAAAGTATTATTTTAACTGGCGTTTACACAAGACAATAGCAACTCTAATTTACTAGTAGATTTAGTAGGAACCATGGTAGAAGAATACAGGTAGTCGCATCGACACAGCTGCTGGGACAGTGAACTGTCAAAACAATTTTGGAATTAAACATTTTTAATGAAAATTAATTGAAATTTGTAAAACCTTTTGATAAATGTATACGATAATAACCTCCGTATAAGAAAGCATATTTACTACTTATTTTTTGTCAAAAATTTTGACATATCACTGTTCCTAAGGGTTGATGCATCACCTTTAATCTTCTACCACGATAGGAATATAAGAAAGGTTGAAGGACGCTTGGTTACCTGTGTGACCTCCATTATGTTTATTCTGAACAAGAAATATTGAAAATCTGATGCATTTAAAGGAATAAAATATAGATATACAGAAAGCGAAAATGCGGTAATAACTGTATAAATGTTCATGCGGGAGAAGAGTTTAAATAAAGGCAATTAGTGGTATTTTTTCGTACCATTAAGAAAAATTCGGTTACCGAGTAAAGATTGTTATTTCAAGCTCTGGAGCAGAGTAAATAGTGGGAAAAGTTACCCTACATGTTGCAAAACAAGACAACGATTTTTTACGTACTGCTATATCTGAATATGTCTCTCAACCAGAAATCTAAGATGAATATTTGATTTATCGAAATTTATGATTTCGCCTGAAATTAGATAGAAATGTTCGATTTCTTTCAAATTTTGCACATACCAATATTTTTATCTGTATTAGATGAGATATAAAAATGGAACACTTCGGTCCGCCATATCTGTTAACTCACGCATATTTTCAGATTTTCCAAAACATTTCACATATCTCACATATAGTACAGGAAGTAGTCGATACCGTCCAAATCTGGCACGTTATAATATTTCTATCAGTCTAAGGTCAGTAACGAATTGGACAATATTGCGTAGCTGCTTCGGAACCTTCCTCATAAAGGATTGACAGTTTGAATAATCATAATTCAAGGCTGGGGGTATACATCTGTCGGCAAACCCGAACGATACAATTTTACTTGTTTTTTTTTTTTGTAATAATTCACAAAATTTTAATTATTTTTAAATTCACCAAACCAATTATAAATACAGTTTTAGCAAATCATTTTTTCTCGAAAATCACTTTTTGGTAGCCTGCACGGACTATATGCCTGTAAATCTAATTTGATAAATTGACGGATGTCCAACAAATCTAATAGTGTGTACCCCGTTTAATATATTAAACAAATTGTTTTCATTTTACATTTGAAGTTTGCTTGGGAACGCTTGGGAACATTGATATGTCAACATTTTTTAAACTTTTTTCCAAAAATAAATATATTTATATAGGCTTTTGTTTATATGACACCAATCGGAGGTTGTTATGATATGCAATTTTCAAAAAATTTTACAAATTTTAATAATTTTTCATTAAAAATTGTCAATATCAAAATTGGTTTGACAGTTCATTGTTCAAGCAACTGTGTCGATGCAACTACCTGCATTCTTCTTCCATGGCATTTGTTGTTTATCTATGCAAAAACTAAAATCAGCTGATTGTCATTAACATCCCTTGTTTCGGAGTTGTTTCAGAGTTACTTAAATTTAGTAAACACATTTTTTACGATAAAACAGCGTTATTATTGCTTTGTTCCAGAACCTGCAGGAATACAAAAATGTTGTTACAAAAACTTTTCGTGATATCGAAAAACTACAAAAGTAGTAAATGTCTTTAGATTCTGGAACAGAGCATATGTGTTTAAAGGTTGGCACGTTTAAACTATAGATCATCGCAAAACCTTGAAACAAGGCGCCTATCAACTTGATTCGAAAACTACTACTTCAATTCCACTACTTAGCACAAATTAATTCAAGAGTTATATTTAATTCGAAACATCTGCACTTATGTATGAAAAAAAAAATTGAAATTGTTTTCATTTTTTTTTCAGAAATGCCGATCTATGTTGTGTTGCCTCTTCTATTGAACTCATTCGCAATTTGATGCTTCAATTCAAAAACACATTTCAAAAGATGCCTTTCACATGAAATGAGATCAATTGAATATGACTTTGGATTTGTGGCCTATAACAGCATACACTTGTACATACATATGTATGTATAGATCTGTACAAAGTCATCAACTCGTAACATCAATGAAGAACAAACAGACAAAAAAATAAAACAAAATTGTGATCTCAATAAATTCACCCACGAGTCACGTTTATTTGTCTCCCCCTCTCGAGCCACCACCGCCACCACAACCGCCTTCAGAGTTTTGTACAAGTGTCGGCAAAAATGTGGGCTTGTGTGAAAAAAAACGAATGAATTTTGAATTGTATGATTCAAAAAATAATAAAGCTTCAATACCAATTGCTATAAATATTCATTATGACAATGTGTCAAAATAATTATTAATTTTTTAAAGCAAGTATAATTTTGTTTGTTTACAAAAAAAAAGAAAAAAATGAAAACACCTGCAAATCTGAAGTTGTTGCATGTTGACTTCCAGTCACACTACACTGTAGAAGAATAAAGGTAGTCGCATCGTCATAGCTGCCGGGACAATGAAATGTCAAATCAATTTTGAATTTGAAAATTTTGAATGAAAAATTATTCAAATTTGTAAAAATTGTTGAAAAACCTCTGATTAGTGTCGCTTAAGAAAACTTATAACATTCGACTTATTTTTGGGAAAACATTTTAAGATTTTTGACATAAAATGTTCCCATGCATTGATGCATGTACCTGTATTCTTCTAAAATACCATGGTAGAAGAATATAGGTAGACGCATCTACACAGCTGCTGGGACAATGAACTGTAAAACCAATTTTGGAATTGAAAATGTTGAATGAAAAATTATTTAAATTTATAAACATTGTTGAAAAACACGAATTATAATAACCTCCGAATGACGTCGTATAAGAAAAAATATAAAAATCTACTTATTTTTGAAAAAAGTCCCAAGCGTTGATGCATCTACCTGTATTTTTCTACCATGTACCATACATTGATGTCTATGTTACATAGTGTTTACACAAGATACATTTCTTGAATCAGAGTTGTATTTTACTGACCTAAGACGGATATAAATCTTATAACGTGCCAGATTTGGACTATATCGACACCTTCCAATACTTCATATAAGATATGTGCAAATTTTTGGAAAATGTGGAAATATGCGTGAGGTAACAAATATAGCGGTCCGAAGTATTACATTTTCATACTTCATCTAATACAGATAAAAATAATCATATGGGAAATATTTCAAGAAAATCAAACATTAATATCCAATTTGATACGAAATCATAAATTCCATATTCATTTTAAGTTTCCTGTTAAGAGAAATTTTTAGATATAGGAAGTTGTAAAGAAGAGCTGATTTGTTTCGCAAGTTATGACACATAAAATATTGAAAATCGTAACCCTTTTAGAAGGGGTTCGCCGATATACGGGGTGAGATGAAAAAGCTGCAATCAACTTCAGGCTTTCTAAGCCACTCGTCCGACAGCTGTTAAAATTATTTCAGTGTGAGCTCATTATATTGTTTACAAGCGTACAAAAGCATTTTGGGGAGAATTTTCCAGAAAAAAAGTTATTCGTGATGGAATTCAAGGGTGATAGAGTGATTTCTTTATATTTGACTGGAAAACCACAAGTGGCAATCGTTAGAGCATTCCAGCATTTAAATGTGAAAAAATATTTTATGTCTCGTAACATCGCACGTTTCCGTGATACTGGTAGTGTAGCCCGACGTCAAGGAAGTGGAGGGAAGATACAAAACAACATCAGCAGAAATGGCTCGAAAAGTAAAGAATCGATTTTATCGACACCCCCGCCACAGTGGCCGAAAAATGGCTCGTGAGGTAAACATATCGCAATATTCCATTCAGCAAATATTGAAAAACGAGCTCGGGGTAAAGCCATTGAAATTGCAAAAAGTGCAAGAACTTACATCGCAATAGAAAGAAAATAGACTCAAAAGAGCTGAAGAGTTGCCTGGCTTGGCCGAAAGGGATGAACTGCCGAATTTGGTTTTCTCCGATGAAAAAACATTCGTTGTCCAGCAGTTTGTAAACAAACAAAATATCGGGTTTTCTTGCCAAAGAGGTCATCTGAAAATGTGCATCTTTGGTTGGCCACCAAAACTCAAACGCCGGTGATGGTGTGGCCCGCTATAACAGCCGATAGTCGCTCTCCGCTCGTATTAACCGACCGTGGCATCAGAATAAATGCCGAATATTATCGCGAAAATATTCTGGAGGGTGTATTAAAGCTTTGAACACGCAAACATTTTTGCCGCAGACTTTGGATATTCCAGCAGGACTCAGCACCATCGCACTCAGCACGCGCCAACCAAGAATGTTTACAAAATGAGGTTCCTCGCTTCATTTCCAGCGTACATTGGCCACCAAAATCTCCGGAATATTGAGATGTACCAAGTCTGATGGATATCCCAAATTTTAACCCTTTGTGGGGATGGTACCTGAAGGAGTGGACCAATATATTCCATCTTCACACCGGACCCTGGGTTAATAAAAATATTATGATGTGTGTAATTCGGAGACAATCGGACATTTACATCACATTTTATTAGAGTTATAATTATTCAAAATTTTGACCCTTTGTGGGGGAGGTACTTGATGGAGTGGACCGATATTGTCCATTTTTGCACCTGACATGGCGCTGATCCAAATACTGGGTTTTGCACAGTTGGAGCAAAATCGGATTATCCTTTCTCCTACTGTGTTGTAAATTATTTTCTTTGAAAATTTCGACCTTTTGTGGGGGAGGTACCAGAAGGAGTGAAACGATATTGCCCATCTCCGAACTCG